GGGGAAAAAAAAAAAAAAAAAAAAAAAAGACATGGCACATGGCCGTTGGGTCCGATCTTTCGGCACATGCGTCTGATTGCTGCCATAGCGCTCACCTTTTAGCCTCGAGCGCCAAACTTTCCTGACACTTCGTCTTTTCATGCTGCACCAACCACCACCTCCAGTCTTGTCATGAAATTCGAGATGCCTTCTCTCCTTGGGCATGTCGAGACAAATGGCATGCTGTCAGAAGCAAATGGTCATCCCAGGCCCGAAACGCCCGTTGGCCGCATGGCTCTGACCGACTACAGCATCAACCCCTCGCCGTCATCGGAGGAGAAGAGAGCCAAGCTACTACAAGCGGTTCCCGACGATCTGTTGCTTCCCAATGGCTATCCCGACGTGCGTCCCCTATGACATGGGAAAAACACAGATTCTGCGCCTCAGACTTACGCTGACCCAACCGCCAACGTCAATAGTACCTTCGCATGATTGCCAGCGCCACTTCCAGAGTCTACGAGGCGTGCAAACTAACACCTCTTACCCCGGCAATCAACCTCAGCAACCGGCTCGAATGCAATGTTCTCCTCAAGCGAGAGGATACGCAGCCAGTATTTAGCTTCAAACTGCGCGGCGCATACAACAAGATGGCTCACTTGGATCCTGCGCGGAGCTGGAAGGGTGTTGTCTGCTGCTCCGCCGGCAACCACGCCCAGGGCGTTGCCTACTCGGCGAGAAAGCTCAAGATCCCCGCCACCATCATCATGCCTGAGGGGACACCCAGCATTAAGCACTTGAATGTTGCGAGACTGGGCGGCCATGTGGTGCTGCATGGTGCTGACTTTGATGCTGCCAAGGAGGAGTGCGCCAGACGGGAAAAGCAGGACGGGCTCATCAACATTCCCCCCTTTGATGACCCATACGTCATTGCCGGCCAGGGAACTATTGGAAATGAGCTGTTTGGACAAGTAAACATGTCCAAGGTTGAGGCCATCTTTTGCTGCGCCGGCGGCGGCGGTCTCATTGCCGGCATTGGCTTCTACGTGAAGCGCATGGCTCCCCATGTCAAAATCATTGCCGTCGAGGCCTACGATGCAAATGCCCTGGCACAGTCATTGACAAAAGGCGAGAGAGTTGTGCTCAGCGAGGTCGGGCTGTTTGCTGACGGCGCCGCCGTCAAGACGCTGGGCGAAGAGACGTTTCGCATCTGCCAGGAAGTGGTGGACCAAGTCGTCGAGGTGACGACGGATGAGATTTGTGCTGCCATCAAAGACATGTACGACGACACGCGATCCGGCCTAGAACCAGCGGGGGCAATGTCTATTGCCGGCCTGAAGAAGTACGTTTCCCAGCACCCGTCCCAAGACCCGAACCGTACCCTGGTTGCCGTGACGTCCGGGGCGAATATGAACTTTGACCGCCTTCGATTTGTTGCCGAGCGTGCTGCCGTCGGTGAAGGCAAAGAAGTTCTCCTGGCCGTCACCATCCCAGAGAGACCGGGTGCGTTTGCCAAACTCGTCGATACCATCATGCCCTATGCCGTCACCGAGTTCAACTATCGCTTCGCCGACCAGAACGTGGCCAATGTGATGATTGGCTTGTCCTTGACGGCCCCCCCGGCTAAAAGACGCGAAGAGCTCTGCATGCTTATCGAGCGCATTCGTGCCGAAGACATGGTGGTGACGGACCTTTCCGGCGACGAACTTGCCAAGAGTCATCTCAGGTACCTCGTGGGTGGTCGTTCTGGCGTGGCCAACGAGCGGCTGTATATGTTTAGCTTCCCCGAGCGACCCGGAGCATTGGAACGGTTCCTCAAAACCCTCAGACCCAGATTTACCATAAGCCTTTTCCACTACCGGAACTATGGTGGTGATATTGCCAAGGTCCTGGCGGGAATCTCGTGTCCAGAGGAAGACAGTGGCGAACTAGCCGAGTTTCTCAGAGATGTCGACTATCCGTTTGAGGAGTGCACGAACTCGGAGGTCTTCAAGACATTTTTGAGATCGTCGAAAAAATAAATAATCTTTCCGAATATCATGAAAGCTAGAGTGCTTTGGACATGGCGTTTCAGAGACGGGCATTTTTGGAAACATAGACTGACCAAATTTTGTTGTGCATTCCCAGAAAACATAGTGACTTGGCCAGAAACAAGCTTCTTCCTTCTTACGATGGGCTTTGCACATGGTGATGGTGAAGACCGCTTGTCCATGGTACCCTTGTGTCTTGTACATACAAGAGGGTCAATTGCTGCATGGGTAATCGGATTAGGTTTGAACCAGAGCTCGAATTGTTCCGTTTCTCCCGCGGAAAATTCGGTGTTGACATCGGCACAGATATTAACGGAGATGCCGGGCAAAAATAGCAACCATAAATGCAATGTCCAAAGTCGAGTGCGGAATCGAAGTGAAACCAGGAACTCTCACTTTCAGGGGAAAAAAAAAGGGGGGGGGGGAAGAATATTCCAACACGGCGTGTGCTTAAATTAGTAACCCTAAAGATCTAGGCTGGCGAGATGCGGAATCCCAACGGGTGGCTTCCAAGACGGCGTGCGAAAGCGAAACAACATGCACACGGGAGCACATGATAAACCCAAAAAATGAAATGGGCCATGCGGTGCGATGCATATTGTGGCCGAGGCTGCAGGGCTGTCCCGCGGCATGGAAAGATTTTGCAAGATTCCGAGTCCAAACTTGACACCGGCCATACTTTTCTTGGTTTCATGAGTCGCTCATGCAACCAAGGCTCTCCAAACTCGTGCGTTTGGCCGGTAATAAGACCATCGAATCCGCCCCTGCGTGTCGACACCTCGTCACGACTCACCAGACTACTTAAGTAGGCTAACTAGCTCGTGTCAGGGCATTCAACGTCTTGTGTGGATCCTCCTCGTGGTCGGCGGCGAGAAGAGAGAGGAAGCTTGTTGCCGGGGAACATTTTTGTGCAGAAGAAGACGGCGGTAACGGGGAGTCAGTCAGCAGGCTTGGCGACGACAGTTGTTGACACTATACTACTACTAGGTTGTAATTGCAAAACATGGCTGTACACGGATAACCGAGAACTCCGTTTCTTGGGATCGTGGGGTCGGAAATAGGGCGAGTTAATGTAAGTACTTAAGGAAGTAGGTACTTAGGCATACCGAGTACGTTCCAGTTGACGGCAGACGGCCGGGAGCACGGAGTATCAAGTAAGTACCTACCTAAGGTACCTAGGTATTCATTGGGAAAGGGGTTTCAGCCCACAAGGCGGAGGCCAGACTCGGTTTCCAGTTGATGGGGCTCAGTCAACCGCCATGGGTTGCCCCTGCCAGGTTGCCTAGGCTGGGTGCTCCATGGAAGGCAAGCCTACGCCTGTGCGCGGCTTCCACGGGCCTTCTACCAAGCTTCGGTCCAGGGGGCCCCGCTTAGCGGTGTTTGAGAGCAGCTTCAATTTTATTGCCGGCCGTGAGTGCGGTTTTGTGCGAATGGAACCAGCAGACTCGTGGGAGAGCTTCGGTCCCGGGTGACGGAGCATCCACAAGAATCTCCCACGTGCCTGGTGCTTCAAGTCCTATCAATTCTTCGCTCCCTGCTCCCTGCCGCCCTGCAACGCTGCGGTCTGGCGCGCGTCGATGGCGTTGACATTTTCAGGTCTCTAGTACCTACTACCTAATATGCCGTCAGGACTAGTACCGCGTACGTACTCCGTACTTGATGAATGCCCCACCAACCTGCTGGGAGCGGTTGCGGTCGCTGGGGGTGGCTGCGGTGCCAGAAGGTGAGCCGTGCGCCGACCAGATGTCGCCTTGCGGCGCGGGTCAACGGCCACCATGATGAACCCAGCAAATTGACCCCATCTATCTTCAAAATGTCGTCAATCACGTCCGTTGGGGACCACGTAAAATATCGACTCATCGCTATCGACATCATCGAGGCACGGCATGAATAAAAAGCATCGAGGCCTGTCCAGGCCTGTGGAGGACGCTGTGGCCGTCCTGCCCCACGTAAGCCGGCAACCCAGATATTATCAATCTTGTCCTTCACGCGAGGAGGTGCCACTTCATTATTAATTAGGCTTGAGTATCCGTACTCCGTAACGTCAATACTCCGTACCTGCCAATACTTGGCGGCGTGCGGAGTATTCCAGGAGTACCTATTAGGAGGATCTATGCCGCTGCATCCGCCCAACAGGAATTGAGCTGTGCTGTGCTGTGCTGTGCTCTGCTGTGCTGTGCTGGTGCTGGTGCTTGATGTCATTCGACCGTCCCTCAGCTGCCAAATCTGGGCGCCAGAATATTGTCAAACATAATAGCCATCGAAAGTTGCTTATCTATTGTTGACCTTGGCTCTGTACATTGGAATGCTTCCACCTGATACTCGGCGTTGGCAGTAATGATTATGTATGGCTCCTGCCTTGAGCTTTGGCGTTTGTCCATGTGGTGGTCCACCTCCCCGCCCCCACACGCTTGGAGCACTCGTTGCCTCGCTTGTGAACCTAGCGCCACTTCCCTTTTTTTTCTTCTCTCCTCTCCTTAGCAGGCAGACAAGTTTGTTCAGTCACACTGCGAGTGTCGCCCATGCGAGGCTTTCGCTTCCGAAGTCGGCGTCACCGGTTGGCGTATGCTTGTTTGTCTGGAAAAATGTGACTTTGATCGCCAATACAGTCCTTCTTTCAAAGGTACGACGAGGCGAAGCTGCGCCTGGTTTGATGCGTACCTAATACCTGTACCTTGGGAGGAAGGAGGTATCTAGGGAAGCTTCCTAAGTACCTACCAAGCGTCAATGTTCAATCAACCCCACGTAACTCTAAAGGTGCGGCAATCTCGCTGCACCAATAGGTACCTAGGTAACCACGGCGTGTGCCTTTGGTACCTGTTGCACGGCCCAGTGCTCCAAGTTTGCCCTGCCCTGCACCTTCCCTGCTACAATTGCCGCTAGCGCCCTGGCAGGCACGACCCAGGACCCTCACCTCAACCCTCCCAACTTGGCGCTTCGCCTTTTCCACTTCAGTCCGACCCTCTCTTACGTCCCTAGCTGTCTTGATCGACAACGGCACACTCTTCGCTCCAACACAATCTGTATTGTTCTCGAAGTCACATCCGGCAGATTGGCGCCCCGGAGTCTTCTGCCTGTGTCCTATTTCTCTGCAATTAATCTCTTGCTATTGTGTCCTGTATTTCTTTGCGCCCGGCCGCTGCGCTCTTTTCTATTCCGCGGTTGGCCGCTGTCGTCATCGGGGCCAACTCCCGACAGCCGCTCGAGCTTCATCTCAACCTTCACCCACGCGCTCGTTTCCAACTGCTGACGATACGCCCACAACTCGAAGAGCATCTATTCTATGCATGTCCGTATCAGCTCTACTTACGGCGCCATCGACCAAGACAAGTTGCGTGGGCGTTGGGCTTGGCAGCTCGCCGCGGCAAGAGAGCTTTGGTACTCGTCCTGCACCACGATCTCGTTCCACCACATAGGTGCTGGGTGCTCCGCCCACCTTTTTTGGGGTTGGACATTGGTTCTCCTTAAAGGACTTCGGCGCTTGGGACGCGCGCGAAGCTTGCTCCCGGTTTGTTCACCTGCTGGATGGCTGCTCATCATATTTGTCACTCCTGAGGACAATTGACAGTCTTGCGCTGGCCTTGAGAGCTCCACCGCTGTGGCCGTGCGTCAGAATCACGGTCCGCAACGGAAGATAACCAGGGCATGCTGCATCTCTGCTACGAAATCATTGCGTTTATTGCCGACAGCACCACGGATCTCGAGGCCATCGATTGCAATTGCTGAAACTCCACCACTTGGGCATCTGTTGGCCACCTTGGCCGCACCGACCAGACCGTGCCGGACAGTCTTGGTTCCGGCCAGAGAGCCTGGCCATAGCGGCTGCCCCTGCTAGCTAGCGGCGGCATTTCCTCGTTTCTCCCCGTAGTAGAATACGCGGCGACTCATCATACTCACAATGCGACGAGGTCGCTCGCCGAGTTCGGGGTCACCTTATCGGGCGCTGGCCCATCACCAACAGGCCAGTTCGCCTTCGACACCCACCGACCCAAGCTCCGTAATCCGATCTTTCGATGTCGACAGTAACCCTGCCCGCCCGGTGCGGCCCTCGCCTTTGGCGGCCTCCATAATACGCGATATGCCCTTGGATCTGGTTGAACGAATACGCTCCTTTCCCTTGTTCGTTTCTGCTCCTGGAGACTTCCTTGTTGCCATTGGTAATCACCTCAAACCTCAGATTAATGGGCCCAATGACCACATAATTACAGAAGGTGATGACGCAAAGGCCATGTATTGGCTGGTGCGCGGCGTGGTAGCTGTCACGTCCCGTGATGGGGAGGCTGTCTATGCTGAACTAAAGCCCGGCGCCTTCTTCGGTGAGATAGGCGTTCTCATGAACATGCCACGCACAGCAACCATTGTGGCACGCACAAAATGTCTCTTGCTTGTCTTGAAGAAGGAAGACTTGCAACTCATCATGCCTAAGTTTCCAGATATGGAGAAGACGATTCGAGAAGAGGGCCAGGAGCGGCTCAACTTACTAAAAAAACAGCGACAGGAACGCGGAGCTAGCCTGAAGGCGCCCAAACCCGATTTTGCTCCCCGAACGACTGTGCCTGGTGAAGTTTCAACTGGTGAGAGTGGGGCCATCAAAGACGGAACAGTTATCAACTCCAAGAAGCGCAAGTCACCAAGCCCTGGCGTTATAGAGGATCCCGCGGTGGGCAGCGCGATCGGCAGTGGCTATGTGAATATTCGAAAGACCCTGAAGGAGTTGCCCCTCTTCTCGACGTTGCCGCCCGATATCCTCCACTTCCTGGGTCTCAGTGTACAACCGAAGACCTACCATCCCTTTACCGATATAGTCTGCCAAGGCACCCGCGGCAATGACATCTACTTCATCGTGCAGGGCGAGGCCGAAGTATTTCATGAGCAACCCAAGGAGCAGGATGCCTCCGAAGAAGCTACGAGATCAATACAACACCGGCCACGGTTGAAAGCTGGGCAGTACTTTGGGGAAGTGGCAAGCCTAGGACTGTCGCCCGGACGGACGGCAACGGTACGATCTATTACAACAGTGGAGTGTCTCATGGTCCCTGGGGAGGTTTTGGAGGAACTGTGGCGAAGATGCCCGCCTGGCATCAGATATCAAGTCGAAGAGACGGCCAAGCTGCGACTGAAAACGCACGATGAGGATGTCGATATGACGGGACACGATGACAAAATCATGACCCTTTCTACGTCGGATGTACCAACATCAACACCAAGCACTCCCACTGGAAGCACGTTGCCCAACCTTACCTTCACTACCCCATCGAGCCAAGGGTCGCCCAGCAAGGACGACTCTGAGACTATGGAGCTCAAAGACCCAGACCCTTTCTTAAGTGTCCCTATGGAGAACCTGCGGAACCGGAGACGGCACTCTCTTGCACCACCGAACCCTCAAGCAGAAAGCCCAACGACGAGTCGACAAAATGGCTATAGGCCGTCTCTAATTGACCTTACGCCAATCAAATTTAGCCATAGCGAGACATCTTTTGAGTCTGGCGCACCGGCGAAACGAGCCAGGACAGCGACGAGTCGATCCCTCTCGCTACCTGCCACACCCCCTCTTTCAGACGAGGTCTTGGTGCGGATATTTAAGCATTTGGATATTCGAGAGCTGATTCGCCTACGAATTGTGAGCAACCACTGGAGACAACTTCTGACAACATGCCCCGAAGTGTGCAATGATGTGGACCTATCACATTACAACCGCCATGTTACTGACCACTCCATTATTCACATTTTGGCCCCTTTCATCGGAAACAGAGCCATCTCTATGGACCTGAATAATTGCTTTCATGTCACGGATGAGGGGTTCGCAGCCCTCTGGCGACAATGTGGCAAAAATATCAAGAGGTGGCGCATGAGGTCGGTGTGGGATGTTTCAGCCCACCAAATTCTAGAAATGAGTGAAAATGCCAAGCAGCTGGAGGAGGTGGATTGGAGCAACTGTCGAAAGGTCGGGGACAATCTACTTGGCCGTGTGGTGGGATGGGTAGTGCCAGAGTCCCCGGTTGCGAAGAAGAGTGTTGCCCTTTCTGCCTCGTCACAGAAACGGCAACAAGAGGAAGCGAGACCGAAGCCGCCAAGTTCGAACAACCCCCCTCCGGGAACGGTCATGGGGTGTCCCAAGCTCAGCAGGCTGGATCTATCGTATTGCAAACATATTACAGACCGGTCAATGGCGCACTTAGCTGCACATGCATCTGGTCGGTTGCGCTCGTTGACCCTTACTCGCTGCACGTCCATCACAGACGTCGGCTTCCAGTCGTGGGCACAGTACAGATTCGAGAAGCTAACTCATTTGTGCCTGGCTGATTGCACATACTTGTCGGATAATGCAATTGTAGCGCTTGTCAATGCGGCGAAGAATCTGACAAACTTGGATCTGTCGTTTTGCTGTGCGTTATCGGACACTTCGACCGAGGTTGTTGCTCTGGGGCTTCCATTGCTACGTGAACTGAGGATGGCGTTCTGCGGTAGCGCCGTGAGCGATGCGAGCTTGGAAAGCATCGCTCTACATCTTAACGAGCTTGAGGGCTTGAGTGTTCGCGGGTGCGTGCGGGTTACTGGTAAGGGCTTGGAGAACATTCTACGAGGCTGCACGCGTCTCAAGTGGACAGACGTGAGCCAATGCCGCAATCTCGAGAACTGGCTTCGAGCCGGAAGCATCGCCAAATGGGGATTCGACGACAGAGCCAGAAAGCCGGTGACGCCCACGGGCCTCTGGGCAGCAGCAGCTCGCGAAGGCACTGGAGAAATACCGGCACAGAAGACGATGAGCGTAGCCATGCTGACCACGCCGAGCTTCCTGCCCCGATCTGGGTTGGGCCTTTTGGGCCGAAGGGCAAGGGAGCCGGTGCGATTCATCATTGAAAAGGGCGTTCAAGGACTGAGGTAGAGACCAAGACGTCTCATTCATAAACGATATCAAGCATCTGAGGAGGCGGAGGACTCCATCTATGAAGTTGGTTACGGTTACAGGTACAGGCACCGCAATTTTGTATATATTGTCCGGGTCTCAGGACGACGCCTCGGCTGAATATGAGCTGTACCAGATGGCGGCTGCATGGTGAATGTCTGGCGTTTAGTTTCTGTTGATTTTCGTGGTCAGGAAAAGGGCATCTCGAGATGAATTCATGTTGCAAATTTGATGCGCACTGAGAGGTGGCCGCAAGCGCACTAACAAATGCTGGCTGGGGTTGTTGTGATGCGCGACTTGCGGTGGCGAGTTTTGGCGCGGAAGGTTCCACCACGTTCCAAGTTCCAAGTCTCCACGTGACTCGGGCGCCTGGCCACACGTCGTGATTGTCAGCATGACGCCGGGTCGAGTCGGTAGACAAGTCCGCCTCATATCTCTGCGTCTCCTTCCCGACAACGACACCCTTTCTTTTGCCTTTCCCCATCAACACAGGCAGCGACACAGCGACACAGCGGCACCAGATTATTGCTGCCCGTCATGTCGCTCACTCCAAGTGTACGGCAAAGCCCTCTGCGCCTGGCGCAACGGCTCCCCGGACTCTCCAACACGGCGTTCCGATCAGCTGGGCCTGTCCGAAGCTTCCACAGGCCCGCAAAGCCCACGGCCAACTTCTTCACCCCGCGCGTCTCATGCATTGCCACCCGAAACGCCTTTGCCCGTGGCAGTAGCCGCTCATACTACCAGGAGGCTGCGCAGCAGGCAGCCAGCGGCACTGGTATGCGCAAGCTGCTGGTGGGGGGTGCCATTTTCGGCGGCACCCTTGTGGCCATCAATGCCATTTTCAACCGCGAGACGAGAGACGATGGCGGCATGCCACTATATGAGCGCGAGTACTTGAACAACACCTTTCTGCACACCGGCCTGGGCGTCGGCATCATTGGTTTGACGGCGCGGCAGATGGTGCAAAGCGGATTTGTCTACCGGTTGATGGTGACGAACCCTTGGGTCGTGGGACTGGGTGGTTTGGCGCTGAGCTTTGCCACCATGATTGGAACTCGTTCGATCAGCCCTGACAAGTAAGTCCGGCCGGAGCGTGCAACGACTTTCGAAGTGCTCGCTGATGTGATTTGGTTTGTTTGTAGCTACGTGCCCAAGTACGCGCTGTGGACAGCATTCAACGCCACACAAGCTGCCTTCATCGCCCCTCTCCTGGCTTTTGTCCCGGGCCCGCTCCTCGCTCGCGCCGGTCTCTACACGGTCGCCATGATGGGCGCTCTGTCTGTCGTGGGTGCGACTGCCAAGCAGGAAAAGTACCTGTACATCGGTGGTCCTCTCCTGGCTGGTGCCGCCATCGTTGCCGTCTCTGGCTTCGCTCCGCTGCTTGTCCCCGCCACGGCCGTCCGCACGCTCGCGTTCACGGAGAGCATCTGGCTGTATGGCGGACTGGCCGTGTTTGGCGGCTTTACGCTGTACGACGTGCAAAAGGTGCTGTATCACGCGCGCATGGCGCAGGCCGGAGTGATACAGCGCGACCCCGTCAACGAGAGCATCTCACTGGAGCTGGACTTTTTGAACATTTTCGTCCGCATGGTTCAAATCTTGATGATGAACCAGAACCGCCGAAAGTAAAGAGTACAAGATGGATCGTGGCGGGTGGAGAGAGATGCGACACGGAGGGTAGGAGAGATGTGTATCAGTACCTGTTTATACCTTGTTGTTGAGTGGCTTGATCTGTGAAGGGGCCAACCAACTCCGCTCAGTGGTTCGGGTAGGAAATAAAATGAAGATGAAATGAAAAAGACGCCAGACCTGACCAAAGTGACGAGAAGGCGTGTGACCCAACCACCACACGACGGTCTCTGCCGCCAGAATCCGCCACCCGACGCCCGCCGCCCGACATCCGCAACCCGGGGCGGGGCTCTGGATGGCATGACGTCTACGAAATCCGGACCCCGCCGGCCGTCACCTTGTCACTTCTCTCCGCCTGCAATTTCCAGCTTCTTCTCTTCCCCGCCATGGCCGCGACTTGACTCTTCTTTGCCCGCATAGAAAAAGAAAAAAAAACCTCTCGCCGCCCGCACCCCCCGCCCGTCATGTCTTTCTTCTTCTCCCGGCTCATCCGCCCCTTGACCCAATCCGCGCGGCTGTCCGCCGCGCCCGAATCGTCGTCGTCGTCGTCGTCCGCGTCCGCGCCGGGTCTCATCCCCGAGGGCGCGCAGCGCTGCACCGTCGCGGCCGGCTGCTTCTGGGGCACCGAGCACCTCTACCGCCGCCACTTTGCCGGCAAGGGCCTCGTCGACGCCAAAGTCGGCTACATCGGCGGCGACCTGAACGACCCGACGTACCGTGCCGTGTGCGGCGGCAAGACTGGGCGTACGTTCGCGCGCGCGCACACACACCCACACCCACATACACACGTACATCCATCCACACACCCGTGCTGACCGCCGTGACGCCAGACGCCGAGGCCGCCCAAATCATCTTCGACCCAGACAAGGTGACGTACCGCCAGCTCGTCGAGTTCTTCTACCGGATGCACGACCCCACGACGCCCGACGCGCAGGGCCCCGACGCGGGCCCGCAGTACCGGTCGGCCATCTACTTCCACGACGCGGAGCAGGAGAGGGTGGCGAGGGAGGTGACGAGGCAGGCGGACGAGCAGTGGTGGGGGGGGCGCATCGTCACGGAGCTCGCGCCGGCGGGCAGGTGGTGGACCGCCGAGGAGTACCACCAGGCGTATCTGGACCGGAACCCTTCCGGGTACGAGTGTCCCAGCCACTTCCTGAGGCCGTTCCCGCCGCTGCGGTCGTGAGCGGGATGGTCGTGTTGTGTTGCCTCTTGTGACGGTGCGCGTTGTGTGTGTGCCGAGCACTTGAATGGAGCGGGACGTGTTTCTTTTTCTCCGCCAAAATGATTTACTTTGGCGTCCACGAGCCCTGCATAGTCGCAACAGAGAGAGAGGACGAAGGCACGTGGTCTACCCTTGACCCTGAATTATCAGACTTGGTGGTCAGTGCGGTCCGTACGTACGTAGTAGCCAGGCATCGGCTCGATCTCTTGCCCCTTGCCCCTGTCTGGTGTAATGCTGGCGGTACGTACGTCTTCTACAGTCAAGCCCCTACGTGTGGGTGACCGGCAAGGACGTTCATGGCGTTTTGCTCATCTCCCAAGACGTCAGGCCGGAAGGCCGGGAGGGGCGCAAGACCAACAGTGCGTCTCCGGCGACTTCGACTCCGTACAGAGCGCTGCCAGCATGAGACTGCTGGCCCGTGTTGGCGGTGATTGAAAAATGACCCATCACAGTACTGCATGTTCCAAGTCGCCATGTATCCATGTTCGACTCTCAGACCGTCTGACGATACGGGATATCAGTGCTCCGATACACGGCTATGGATTCTACCCAACAGTTCCGACCCAAGAAACCAGCGCGCTCCGCAACCCCATCCCGCCGATGAACCCATCTCACTGACGGGAACCCAGTGCAACAGGACCAACCATCAGTCCATCGATGCCTGTCCATCAATGCCTGTCCATCAATGCCTTGCTGCGATTCCCATGCCGGTAACCACCGGGTCCCTTATGGTTTGCATAGGCAACGACTCCCCGCGATTGCTCGTGTCCACATCAACCTTGGCCTTCCACGTCTTGTACCACGGACCTTCAAACAACTCCTCCATTCTTTCCAGCGGAACCCCCTTCGTCTCGGGCGCCCATAGGCCGAGGACAACTAAACCAATCAAGCACACGAGCGCCCAAAAGACATAAGCCCCCCAGACATCGAGGTTCCCGAACATCGCAGGCGTGGTCCGCACAACGGCGAACTGGAAGAACCAATGAACCATCATGTTCACCGAATAGCACACCCCTCGGACCCGCGTGGGCAGGATTTCTGTGCCGTACAGGTACTGGACCGTACAGAGACCTATGGACCAGCCAATGGCATAGATGAACACCGACGCAATGGCAGCCTCGGAAGCAATTCGATTGTTGCCATGGCGCCAAATTGCCATGTAGACGGCCATGTAGACGTGTGACGCGCATTGCATGGTCAGGCCAGTCATGAAGCAGCGTCGGCGGCCAAAGTAGTCTATCAGCCCCCACGTGAATACCATGGTGAAGACGAGTTTCGTCGCGCCGTATCCCCCGGCGTTGATGAGTGCGCGGTTGCTCGTAATGCCGGCGAGGCGAAAAATTTCGGGAATGTAATAAGTGATGCCGTTGCCACCGCTCCACTGGGCAAACGCTTGCATCGCGAGGCCGAGGAGGAATCGACTGCGGTATGTGGGCATCGTCGCCACTTCTTTGATGATTGTCCAAGTCGACGTGCCGGCAAGGACGAGGTTCTTGCTCACCACTTCTTGCCGCATTTCGCCATATTCACTCTGCACCTCGGCATCTTCCGTCGACTTATTGCGCAACCTCGCCAGGACAGTGAGGGCCTCGTCGTCGCGGTTCTTGGACAGAAGCCAGCGGGGTGTATCGTGCAAGAAAAGTGAGCAGAGGAGTGCGATTCCAACGGGAATCTGAGGCACAGCAAGCACGACTCGATACTGCTCTCGATTCGATTCCATCGTCTTTCGGACGGCGTAGCCGATGAAGAACCCTGACAAGAAAAAAAAAACAACATTAGCACCATGCTCAGATGTCGACACGACGACTTGAACGGTAGGGAGAGTTGGCCTACCCAGCATCAAACTTGTCAGCAAAACCACCATGTATACCGACACAATCATGCCCCTGGTTCTTGCCTTGGCAATCTCTGATAGGTACAACGGTGCAACAACAGTCAAGCCGCCGGCGCCAATGCCTCCCCAGATTCTCGCAAACAGGAGCACACCAACGTTTCCTGAAGCAAACGCGACGGTAAAGAAACCTGTCATCCACACAAGCGTGAAGATCTGCCAGGTGCGGAGCCGGCCAATCGCGTCGGTGACGTATATGGCCATCCCAGCTCCGATGGCTGCACCAAGGACCCCCAACGACGAGACAACAGCTCTCCGAACGGCTGACTGAGATGGATCCCCAGTCCATCGTCCTTTGTTGAGGCCGAAATCGGTCAAGAATGATGCGAGTCCAGACGCTGAAGCGAAGCCACCCTCATCATATCCTGTGGCCGTGAACATGCGCCGTTAGCCAAAGACTCGCTGACCTCGCCAATATCGGCTGATAGCAGGGCGATCCTTTTGTTTCTTCAGGTCCTCGGGCTTACCTTTAGGGATCGACCCGAGTGCGATGACAAGGACGGTGAATGCATAGAAAGGGTTGAGCGACGGCCGACGCATGGTGGCGCAAGTTGAAGGGGCACGCTGCGAGGAAGGGTGGGCAGTTCAATTCGACTCACGCGCCTTCAGACGAGAGCACACGCATCCATCGATATGGTTCAACGGCGCTGACTGTGAAGGAACTTGTCCAGATCAAGCTGGTGAGCGAGCGAGCTTTTGTTGGGGAGGGCGGTAAGGTCGCCCAGGGTTACGCCGAGAGCAGTGCCGCGGCCGGGAAATCGATGTTGGCTGAACTGCAAGGCGTCCACCTATTCCTTGTTTTGTAGCCGGTGGTTCCTGAAACAGATAACCTTGTTTTCCATGGCTGCCAGGAGAGGCCCTCTTCCGCAACTTGCTCGAGCTTCTCCAAGCTAAGCATTGAGGACTTAGAGAAGCTCGCTTCTATGGCTCTGTGTGTGGGGCAGTGCTTCATGCAGTCTAGACACGTAACATTCGCCGGCGGAAATTCGAATAGAAGCTCCACTCACAGCCTTGTGCTGCCGTCGGTTGTGCGATTGTTGAGGACGGTACCTGTGTTGCGACGCTGCGTTGTGGTGGCGTTGAAAATGTTGAAATTCCATGATATCGTCAGCTTGAGGCTGTGGTGTTGCTGGGTAGCGTTAGTCAGCAGCGGAGCAGCCCGTGGGTGGCTGTACAATTTCTTAGCTTGTACTGATGCTGCAAAATTTGTATGAAAAGATACCAGCGAATGTTGCGTGTTAATGTCGCGTGTTCGAGTTTCGGCACGCACAGGACTAGTAGGTACGTACGTACTTCCTAACTCAATAACTCAAACAGGGTCGAACGTGTCGCAGGTCGTCGCCATCGTCTCGAGCCGGTCGTCGGCGTAACCTTGTTCGCCAGTCCGTTACCGGGACGCGACCAGTCTGTGTCCAGGGAAATGACCTAGACAGTTATTGCAACCTGCAAGACGGGAATGAATTCGGAGTATTTCCCCTGAGCCACGGAGTACTCCGTAGTGAAGCGTTACAATGCCAGAGCCTCGCAGCTTTCTGTTACTGAGTGTGGCTGGAGTCAGCTTTTTCCGACTCCTTGAATATGTCCGTCACCAATGCGCCAAGAAAGCCCGAGCTTTGAAAACAGGAAACGACGCCAACTCTGGCACGGAGTAGTGAGACGAGAAGGCTAACTTCTAGAGTCAATGTCAAGTCCAACCGGCTGATCGTGTTGAAGTCAAAAGTCACTTGCTCGGTAACCGAGGTTGCCCGAGAGCAGCGGAACCATCTGTTTTTGACTTGAACGTCCGGAGTACGAAGTACTCGTAGTGCCAATCATTTAGCTGAAGGCAAAATCAATGCAGACGCCACGCTGAAGTGCTGAAGTGCTCAAATTAGGGTCTAAGTCTGGTAACCCGAGGGCGGCGTTTTTAGTCACTTTTCTGACATGGAGACGTTCGTCTACCTCAATCTCCTGTACTACGTGAGGTAAGAATCCCCTTCCCACAGCGGTAGCGGTCGACGGGGCTCCCAACTTGCCGCCGCCGCCCCTGCTTACGCCTTGTCAGCACCCTCATGCTTCACCGCGAGTACTTCCCCTTCCTGCCGACCCCGGAGTCGGAGCCACGGGGTCCAGTCGACCAGCCCATGCTGGGGGCGCCCGCCCCCGAGGGCTGGTGGGACGACAGCTCCCGACTCCTCTTCGGCGCGGCAGAGCACATCGCCGCCATTCTACACGAGGCCTCCGAGTGTGGCGTGCATCTCATGACGCCCTTTGCCGGGTTCTGCGCATTCTCAGCCGGCTACCTCAACCTCTACGTGGCGAAATACCCCCGAATGAACCTGGGCCGCAGCCCGCGAGCAAGCGACTGTCTCAAAATGTGTCTCGACTACCTGGAAAAGTTTCGACTTGTCTGGAAAATCGCCGACGGATGGGTAAGCCGCCCGCAAGCATGACACGACCGTGGCCACCGTTGCGCTAACATTGAGAGGGCGGCACGCGCAAGATCAAAACGATACACCATGCATCCGTGCTCTACGAGCGAGCAACCGAGGACCGGACACGATACCAGGGGCGCACACGAGCAGACTTTGATACTCTACACCAGTCTGTCCACGAGTTCCGTGTCGTGGATAGATCCGACGCGCATACTCGGGAGATTCGGGGCGCGGAGCGGCCCTCGGCGCAGGCGACTTGGCCGGTTCAAGGGCACGAGCACGAGCACGAGCACGAGCACGAGCTCGACACTAATACCTTGTTGAACCAGCTTTTCGCGGAAGTCAGCAATAACCTCGACGAGCAGGGGGCCTGGTCTCAATGGTGGCCGGCGATTGATCAGGTGGATCTTTAATGAGCTGCGTAATTACATCCGGGGTTTTTTTTTTCGTTGAAGCTTCCAATGAATGAGTGACGACCTTTGATTTTTTTGATTTTTTTTTTAAAAAGGGCTGTAATATCTGGTTTTCTATACATGTCCTATTTTTATTTCCCGGTCTAGAAAAACAGTCAACAGATAATGCACCTCTTCATATGGCTCCCCTCCCGTCACCGCCAACAAATGCATACCTGTCGCGTCAACCATTCGCCGTTTCTCCTTCCAATCACGCCTTTGCAAAGACCTTTCTCGAGTTCATCAGGCGAACAGCAAGCATAAAGAGCATGCCGACAAAAGGCGCCACAACCACGCCAAGAGGACGTTTTTTGAAGCAGCTAAAAAGGCACGTAAATGGCGTCTGGATTCTGTACTAGATCTACTAGAAATTTGGGACGAGAAGGGTGTACATTATAGGCGAAGAGGTTAATAGCGTTATTAGGTTGAAAATTGGCCCGCCTTGGTGTCCGGCCCGCCTTGCTGTCGAGCACCACCTTTGGTGGTGAGGGCTTTTGCTAGCCGAACCACATAAAGTGGGGCGGGCACGATTAGCGGTATCCCGATTCCCCGATAACCTTGGCCCTAACCATAACTGTCAACCTTAAACCTGACTTGCGCTTAGCCCTAACCCTAACCCCAACCCTTGCACAGAACTACCCTCAAATGTGTACCCTCCCTCACGTTACATGTAGACCAGAACGACTGAGAAAATTGGGGCTATGCTCGGGTTTGCTATAAAACCCCCTTCCGCTATCTGCGACTAATTCTGTTGACTAGTATTTTAAGATTCAAGTCTATATATGGGTAGATTGTTCCTGGACAAGTGATAGATTGTGGAACTGCTCAGGAAGAAAAACCTCTGATGACTAATCGTACCGGATGCCCATTTTATAGCCAATGAACATCGTCCACATTCATCATCCTAGGGCCTTGTCGGTGCTAGTTACCAGCTCGACCGCGGACACATATGGTCATGCATCGACCCGGCATGTCATTTATTAGTTAATGGTCACTGCTTCTAGATTATCCCCAAGGCTCCTCAACATCCTCAAATCACTGTCGAGCCGAAGGACCTTGTCATTCAGAGCTGATCTCACCCTGGCTACCAATTGGCGATGAGTTGCTCAATATTTCCCGAGTAACTTCCAAGTATGTCACGCAGACAGCATCAACGCCACTGTTTGACCTCGGGGTCTGGCGAGTCGTCAGGCACACAACTTTGTTGCATACGCCTAGCAACACCTCGTAATCTGACAGATCATGCACAAATCATGTGATAGCAATCCTCGTCATGCTGCCCCATCAAATTCCTGCCCAGTTGGAGTATAATCGTCATAGCCGGCACGTTGCACCGCCTGGGGATGTCTGGTTGATGTTTCAGTCAGTCGCCTCAATTCACGCCCAAGCAACTTCTCCTTTTCTTTCACCAGACGCGTATTATCTGGGATTATGGGAAGCCCTGCAAGACAGCTGCAGCCTTGACCTTTGGGCTGTGAAACCTCAGTCGCCAAGAGCCTGAGGTGCTCAGGATACCGACCGCAATTCATAGGGGAGAAACTGATGAGCTCTGCGCGATATGTAATACTGAGAGTCTTGGATGTCCGTAGAACCGACGGCTATTTCGTTGACGTTGTGTACCAATCTAACACAGTTTCGCCACAATTGCTTCAAAAAGACGCATTTTATACTCATTCCATAAGCCATTGCATAGATCAGGATCCTCGTCCAAAAGAAGGTGGAATTTTTGACTGGGAAATTGTCCCGACTCGAATGCTTAGTGGCTCCAGGGTCGACATCGTTTCAAAAACGCCCGGCTCTATAGACATTGCATCCGGACCAAGGTTGTTGCTAAACGATGGCTGGTACACTGGGTGAGTTGGAACATGGCCTTGTCTGGCTGTATCTGGAGGTGTTTGGTGTGTATCACCAGACAAAGAAGAGCTCGATCCTGTCGATGGGGTTGGCTGAGTCCGAGTGTTTTGCTGCGTAGACATTCCTACTGTAATGCCCACAGCGGTGAGTTCCTTGTTGATATTAACCAGCGCGGAAGCTATGACTATATTAAGCAGCTGCATCAGTAAAACATATTCATTCTAGGGAGGGAAACACCCAGGACATCTTACCTGGGCTAATTTGTCTCACTTGCTGCAAGCATTGAATGCAATAAGTAAGCTTTCGCATTGCGTGCTGGTCGTCTGGAGCGGCTTGAACCTGGAGTAGGAAGATTGACGAGGCAATATATACACAGTAGGCGAGTGAAAGAACACAGTAGTTCATGGTGAAAGTCCTGCAGAAAAGATCAAAGATTGCAATGATAGATGTCGCCGATGTCACACTTTCCACTAGATACCTCTGGACCGGAGACGGGCTGTCGCATTCATGCTGTCCTCTTCCGGTGATCATTGGCCGATAGAGCAAGATTTTGAAGGCATGATAAAGACAACTGTTGTCCAGTGTTAGTCATGCAGTCTCGGCCCTGAGTTGATTGCTGATGTTGCAAGGCCATACGTACTTCAGTGTCACAATGTGGGATGGCGGAGCCAGGTTGGGCAATGAGACGGGATCAATTTGAAGGTGAATTGGCAGTTGATCCCACCATTGATGCAACAGCGGTTCCTGCGAGTTGAGACACTCTTGGATTTCAGTATCAGTATTTTGCGATAGAGGGTCGTACATGTGTATCAAAATTTCGTTGAAAATAACTGCTAATCGACACATGCTCATGAAACAAGAGGCGGAGTGAGCTGTTGTTGGTAGATATTTCAACGTGGGATCGGTCTGTGGAATACCAAACGGAACCCACAGGTCATTTTCGGCCGAATCATCAACTGTGAGAAACTGGTCAACAAATCGGCTTCGTTTGCAGATCTGTCGCTGAGGGAGAAAATTCTTACACATGATACAGGACGGTGAAACGTTTGTATGTTGTAAGGAAGGAGAACGTCCCAGATACAGACATATAAGCTTGTCCCAGAAATAGCAGCCCCAATAGATGCGCCGACGAATCTCGAGCTCTTCATCACTTAAGGGAACAGAGCCCGGAAATCGCTGGCTGTCCACACAGATGCCAAGATGATCCAACAGGCGGAAAGCAATTCCGCTGTATGTCCAAGCTTGGGTAGAATTGCCTTGACTGCACTCTTGCGCGCTAAGAAGGAGGAGTGTTTGTATCGTAGGTATTGTACAAACTCCATGATTCAATTCTTCAAAAAGCATGCTTCTGGCATGTTTGCCAAAGACGAGGCCGCCTTGGTAGGAGTCATCAAGTAATTGTTTAGTGCATGGGTCGCTCCGACCCCATCGGATTGAGTGCGAAATTATGGCATTCAGTAGCGTGTGTGAATAGTATGGCCCCATGGATTGCATGTCGCCTGCCATTGTTAGCTGAAAGCTATGTGGCGAAGAGAATTCGTGAGTTGAGCGATGATTGGTTTTGGATAAACCTACGTGTAAATATAGGTCGGTAGATAAAATTAAAAAGTGGTTGGATCCAGCACCAATGAACATTAAGCAGGTATTGAAATGGTTCCTGCGACACCAGTTAGTAGCTCTGGTTGTATGTCGGCCCTGACATCATGACGGGCTAAACTCATAGACAAGAGACATACAGGGATTTCGCTCAAGTTTTCCATGGCGCGCTGGTGCCATGCGTTGTGAATTAAGCGCTCTCGTCTCTGGAGGTCGGTATCCGAGGACGATGGGTTCAGGATGGGGGTGTCAGACACTCCGGTGCCAGTTAGGTCACTTGGAAGATTGAAAAAACTAGTGGCCCCATGGTATGTGATGCTTCCTTTTTCGTCAATCTTCAAGCTTTTGAAGCGACGACATATACCCTGCTCGTCAGTGGCATGCCGAGTGGTTTGCGAAGGGACATCTTGCACGCCTGACCCGGGAGGACTTGAATGGGGCGAGCCAGCAAGCGACGAAGGCGACTTCGCAAGGTTGGATACTTGATCTTCCAGTTCCTTAATTCGTTCCTCTAGTCGCTGAGTGTAGGACAACGTCGGATTTCTAAGTTTCAAGTTAGAATATAAGCTTTTCATCTGCAGACGGTGGGGTCGACGAACAGCTTGTAAACGCAATCATCGTTGCGAGCAGCACACCGCTGACAAATGGGCTGCTCACCTCCGCATTTTACCTATTCGCAGAAGCAGAATGAATGCATGAGTAAACCTGTCCACAGCATGCAAAGCTGGAGCTGAATCACATTGGTGTAACAGTTGGTTGTGACGTGTGTCTGTGTGATTGTGATTTGTGCGTGCATCGGCCATCGTCCGTCGAACGTCACAAACAGCCAGACCCAGGAGATATAAAACGTACCTTGCGCCTGCGGCACAGCTCACACGAGAAGGCACTCTTCTTGGTGGCCTTGGCCGTAGACATGATGAAGAGGACGAAAATGTTAACCAACGATGGGCCGGACCGGTGCCACAGCGCAAGTCCGCCGCCTTCAGACTTTAAAACCTCAGGGACTCTCTCAGAGCGAATGATTTGTATTATGACAACAGAGTGAAAACAAAGGTAAAATGACGGTTGTCATGGGATAGGTATTAATTTCTTCGTGCATCTGGAGAGAGAAAATGACGTGCTGGGCATTCACCTTTGTCGCTCGATACTGGTGACGAGGGAGTTCACAAGCATTTAGAGAAAGAAATGGGGAACGCAAAAAAAGCGCCGCGGTCTGCGCCTCTCTACTTCGTTACTCCGGTCATGAGAAGACGGTTCGTTTGGAAGGAACGAACGGCCTGCCCCACACTATTGAAGACGGAGCAAGAGTTGGAGATGCGGACGGAGCACGAGAGGAACCGTGTCAACAGCGATGATCACCAAGTCCGTCGAGGTGGATAGAAGCTTCGACACTTTGAAGTGGATGGATGATCTAGACTAGACAGAAGAACGAACAAACAACAAGATAACCGAAGCTGGATGACTGAATCGACATGGGAAGTGAGGGTCAGAAACCCGAGAACAGGGATCGTGAAGTGGGCCGGCGTTAGCTTGACTGGTCTCTGAAAATGCTGAAACTGGGCAGGAGGCAGCAATTGATCCACAACTGGCATAATATTGACGGAACGGAAAGGCAGAGTGTACGTCTCGACACTGTAAGAGTGGGGGATGGGAGATGCGTAGGAATTGCGCCAGGCCATCATCCCTCACCAAAGTGGAATGTGCCAGGTCGAGTAAGGGAAGGTGCGAGGAACCTTCTGGCCGCCTTGGGGACGAACAGGGGACAACCAGGGCCAATTGCTTTGCACCTGTCTTAAGACCAGACGAATTCACATTGTCCATGCACCAGACGATAAATTCGAACACGCCTACGAGAGCCTGCACCGATGCTCCCCAACCATGCTCAGTGTTGCTCCGTACTTCTTACCGCCCACGGAATAAATACTGGGTGGCTGTTTGCTTGCCCACAACGAATCCTTGAGGCGAGGTCCCTTACAGGTCGCTCCCAGAGCACGAGTCTTGTTGGTCTTGGATTGACCGATGTCAAGGGTCGGCTGTCCTCAGATAATTAATTGGACGAGACCATCTTCACGCAACTAATGCCTCGGGCTGGGGCGTGTGGCATGCATGCTATCGACACCGCGCCTTGGCTGATTCCCGACCAAATACGGAGTACGGGTACGAAGCACTATTCCTGACAGACAACGTCCCCCCTGCGCCTTCATGCAACAAGGTCTGGCTGGTTCCCAGATGAGCCGGATGCTGGCGATTTCATCTGCTTGAATAATCTGCGCCTCATGCGACGTGACTCTAGGCCCTCTAGGCCCAGCAGGAGTCAACGAGATGCGCGCATCTATCAAGCACCGCTCTTCACGACTGACGTCGTGGGCGACGCTACGGTGGCCATGCCGCTCCGTCCCCTTCCCTCGCCGATTCTAGTCATACGAGCGGGCTGGCTCTGGCGATTTGGTTCGCTCGAATCGTCCTATTACCGGGACACGTGAAATAATTCTCATCCGGTTTGAGCGATCCTCGTGCGTGATTCGTTCCAATCCGAATCGTGGAAACGGAGTATGGGAGCAGAACCCTTGTGCCCCCGAAGCGGACGATCCGAATTGAAGCACGCGCTCCCACTCCGACGTCCGCAAGGTGCCGGCTAGACTAGCCGCACATGGCATACAATGTTGGACTGTGCATTTCGATTCACCTGGCTGTACGGAGTATGGCCCTTGGTACCACCTGCGTACTCCCAGGCAGCAGCAGGTTGGGAACCTTTTGTTGCATCGTCCATGAAGAGATTACTTCTGCAAGCTGAGGTTGAGGTGCATCGCGACTCCACCATCAATTACTGATGTCGAAAATGGACCAAGGTTCTGGCCTTGTCTGTGCGTCTCCCCACCCTTCGCATTACTCAGTACAGGAAAACTCATGTACAATGTTCATCGTCCATTCGCTGAAGGAAAATCAGAGCGCCGCTTACTTGAGACACAATCCAACGTTTTTTCCATTGACAGCATTCAAGCGAGTTCATATCAGGCATCTTTATGGAAAACAACGCTCCCGAGCTCGGTTTACGTGAACCGACCGATTATGAGACAACTATGGAGCCCACACGTGTCACTGACTGCGAAAGGGAAGACGCGGCTCATTCCAACATGCTCATTAACACAGTTAGGAATCCTTCCAGCAACGTTCAGGAAAGCTTGGCACAAATTTTAATTCCATGGTGGACGGTGGGGTCCAAAGCCAAAGTCTTTTCTACAATATTGCACTCTAGCACTTCACTTCGCCGCGAAAGTCATACGTATGCGTCAGCTCCTTCTGACATCGTGATAATACGGACTTGAAGTCGGGGCAAGCTGACGGAATGGGCGTCTATTTGCCCAGCGTGGTCGATGTTGTGCCACGTACGAATAGTATTCAACTTGGTATGTCCCGACGTTGCCAGTTCTAGCTGTGACCATGGACTTGAGGACTGGCGAATTCGCAGCTCGCATCTGAGGACGACACCCCTTGCATCCCTCGTTATGCACGTTTTCAATCTGCCGTCAGGGTGCGCGGGCGTTTGCCGAGCTTGCCCGGAAACACCCTGTACAACAATGAGCAGAATGCGACCCATGCGGATGGAGTCTGGACTACTACTCCGTATGAGACGACTAGCATTCCTCGATAAGTGGCTGGGCCATGGCATGCGGAAGAGAGCGTCGCCGTCTTTTGAGTGCAGGCATTCGTTCTTATACCGCAACTACTACATGATGACCTCCTCCGGAGGTGGAATGACGTGCTTCTGAATGATGTGCTAGCAGCATCTCCATGCAATACGTGCTTTCTTGATAGCACATGCTTAGGCGTATAAAGTCGCCGTCTTCTCAGCCACGTCGGCTCTCCCCTTGGTCCGTCTACTCATCCCTCCTCTCAGTCGAAACGCGGTGCCTGCATCCTCTAAGATAAATTTGGCGGATACCAAATGACCGCCACATGTTTTATTCCGCGCTGCAGACCAAGAAAAACGCAAACGACTGGCAGTGGTAGCGTTGGGCACTGGGCCACCGCGCACGAAATCTACAAAACCCGAGTGCCTTTGCATTCCGGCAAGCGGCGCGCGAAAAATCGACACCGCCGCAGGGGCCGTCGCCCTGGCTAACGGCACGCCGACTCCCGAGCCCATCCGTCGCGTCAGGGGACCCGTGACCACGGTCACAATGTAACCACCACGTGGACACGCAGCATACTCCCCTCGCTGCTGATGAAAAATCAAAATCACCGGCCAGCCTCTCTTTAGCAGTAACAACATGCGCTGTCAGGGCCAAGCGCACCGTCACGGGCTCACGCAGACATCCAGATGGGTTCATGCGCAATGCGCACCTGGCGCGCACCAGGCCTATGGGACAAGACTCAGCCCTCCCATCACTGCCGGCCTGCCTGTCGCATGATGTCCCGGCATGCCTCGTTGCCGCTGCGAGAAATGCCAACTCCAGAAAACAGGAGAGAGGCGAAGGCGTTTAAATAAACGTCATGGCCGAGCCTCCGTGGCCGTCTCGGAGAGTGCATGGCCCTTCCCTGGCCGACGAGACCGAGAGATCCCCCCCATGCTACACCCCCGAGCCAGTTCGAGATGCGAGAACTCGTCCAGAAAGCCTTGACCCTCGTGTCACTGGCTGCAGCAACAGCCGCCGTCACGCCAATGTCCGACGCCGACATGGCACGCCTGTTGAACGCGGGGGGCGTCGAGCTCGCCATGAGGGCACAGCCCATGTTTCTCACGGGCCAGGCGGTGGGCAAAGCACCGTGCATTCCGTCTTGGGCGACAGTCAACGGCACGCAGGCGGCGCCGTCGAAGCTGTGCGCGTGGCCGGACTCTGGATGCGACTGTCGAAATCCCGGCGTGCCGCTCGGGAGCCCGCTGCCGTCGTTCCCCGTGTACTTCTCATATACGAGGTGCGGGGACGCGGCCGTCAGGGTTGCGTACAACTTGTTTTACACAAAGGACGGGTTTATCCCCAACAAGATATTCGGGCATCCGTTGTGAGTCTTGCCCCATACAAGAAAGGGCACGCACTCGCTACGGCCGTGATGTGTCCCGCAACGGGGGATGAACTGTGTGGGCAGCGCTGACCCGGACCGCTAGCGACTGGGAACGAGTCATCGTGATATGGGACAAGAACCAAAGTAATGGCACGTGGGCGCCCGCGCAGTTATACCTGTCCCAACATACGGGATACCAGAGGATAGAATGGGCGCACATCAAGAACACGTTTGACGCCGCAGATGCTGGAAAGCCACGGGGCGGCCCTGATGGATTGAGAAACTTGGATCATCCAAAGGTGAGTCGTACTTTTTGCAATACGGACGAACGGGCTCTGCCTCGGAGGTCGGCTCAACTAACAGGTCCTTATCTAGTGCTACATTGCGTCGGCGAAGCACGACATGCATCAGGAAAAGTCAACTGTACGCTCGTGTCCCGGTCGCTGGCAAGAAATGACGAAGAAGAAGTGAAGCTAACAATCCCCAGACGTGGGTTGACGTCTTATCCCAGCTTACGGACAATGCGTTCCGTTCTGACAGTTGGTGGTATTTCCCGACCAAGGGTGAGTCCAGGTCCCTGCGTTCTGTGCTTGGTGGTGGCAGAGCTGACTTCAGCAAAGGAAACTATATATTGGCGGACGAGTCGACTGATGTCGGCAAGTTGATAGCGAGCTTTGACTGGGGCGATGCCGATTCTACGCCACCTTTGGTTGCGAAGGGGCTGTGTAATGCTTAGAGTACGGAGTACACGAACTAGATTTCCCTTGGATCCCCCTTCCCCCCCCCTTTTTTTTTTTACTGGACTCTTGGGGCCATGACGAATTGCAATGCGGTAGATGTACTAGAGACGAATTAGATTTTTCTGTATTTTTTTTCCCCTTCGCACAGAAGCACGGTCATAATCTAGAGTTAATCGGTCGACCACCGTCTCAGACAAGGCCAAGGTTAGGCCTCCTCGACCTCGACTAGGTGTCCGTCCTGGCGGACTATCACCTTCTTTGATATGGATGCCTCGACGGGATTCTTTGCTGCAAAGATGTGGTCCAACTCTTGGAGCTATAGCAAATTTTTACACGAGTCCACGTCAAAGCAAACAAAGTGCTCGACGCGGCTTACTGTTGTACCCATTGTTTCGGGCAACGTAAAGTAAACGATGATGACGGAAATTGCATGCCAGACTGTAAAGATGATGTACGTCTTCCATCCTAGGTTCTTCATGGACACCGACCAGGCGTACTGGTTGAGCAAACCGGCAAGATTGACTGCAGTCTTTGGTAAGCGCCAAAGAATGAAGGAGGAAAATCTCGTCGAAAGGAAAGAAGACGGAAAAAGATGGGGAGGTTTCCGGCAAAGAGATAAGATGACGTACCCGCCAAGTTGGACACGACCATACCCTTGGCTCTCATCTCAAAACTCAAGACCTCGACAAGATACCGTCCCTGCAACGGCGTGATGCCAATCGAGAAGGCAGCGCCGAACAAAAAAATCATGAGGGACGACTTGCCGGTGATGACGAGAGCGGCACCGCTAGCCATGCCAGCTCGTCGGCCAAAGTGGTCGCAGACTGGCCCGAGAAAAGGCAGAGCGACAATGTTGCCAATCCGATACATGGAGGAGACGATGCCAGCCCAGATTCCGCTGTTGGAGCCATTGTTGTATGTTGAATTCAACACGGGTGTCAATCATGCTGCCGTCATAGCCATTGACGGTGCTGTTGAAGGCAACCAGAGAGAAGAGATAGATGACGATCTGTCCTCTGCCCCAGGGAGCTGGCGGCTCCTCCAGCAGCGCTTCGTCGCCCGTCGCCACTCTCGTCTCGACATGTGTCTGCAGCACGGTCAGCGAGGATACGGCACGGACGTCACTGCTTGCCATTGCCATTGCCCGATACTTTTCTGGCGTCCATGCGGGCGCTGTTCACAGGGTGCTTCTGCTCCATGTCCGCCGTGGCTGCGCCGCCGCAGCAAGAGTCAGCCTAGTCCCTGCATCAATCATGTGGGGCCCGAGGCTCAAGCCGAAGACAAGAATTTCCACGTCCCGACCCCGGATTTTCGTCCGCGCATGTGGATGGTGTTGGCGTGCCGGGGCTGGTGGTGGTGGGGCATCAGGATGAAGATGCAACGTGAACGCGTCTCCTGGCCGAGGGCCGCCGTTGATTGGTGAATGGCAGCTCACGAGTTCTCGAGGTAGGTAAGGTACTCCGGCTCCCGCATCAGACTCATCACGGCGACGTGTCAACCCAGAATGCGAGAAGGGGAACAGGCCCGAATTCGGCGGAGAGCCAGCGGTTCGGTGCCGAGACCGTATGTTGAAGAGGCGCCATTCCGAGACGGCAGCGTGAGGCCATTGTAGCCGTCATCTCGTGCCCGCCCACGGGGGCAAAGGAGCCAAGTGCACCGAGTGTCCATGGTCAGATCCGAAATTCTGCCTCATTCCATGTCAGGCATCTATACCCGCCCGGGCAGCCGATCACATGACAATGTGGCAGCTTGCCAAGGATTCGGAGATTTATTTTTACATCAGACATCATAATGGACTCGAGTAGGAACGGGTCAGGACGATCCAGGCGTCAGGGCGAACAGTCACAGGAAGCAGCATGAAGCCCTTCCAAAGCCTGTATAACGGCCGTTGGCAGTATTTCTTATTTGCTGCCCAGATTTCGCCTCAGCCGTGTGTCCCTGCATATCACACCCTTTGCAGGGCTTTGTCCTGTTGTTTCTGCGCTTCGTAGCCTCGCCGGTCGGAGATGACGCGTTGGCAGATACAGTCGTCTACAGGGGAGGCCATGAGACTCATGCCGGCCCGCCATTTCCCTCCAAGGATACCTTTGGGACGAGACTTGGTGGCCGAAGGTACGTAGAATTACAGACATTCCCCTGAATACCTAGCTGACCAGCAAATCTACGCACAAGACGCAATCATGAGCAGAAACACCAGATTAGACAAGGCGCTCAAGGTGCCAAGAAAACCGCCACATACAAAGGTCTGCCGGCGCTGGACCCAAGTTCTAACCTTGGAAACTCAAGTTGACGAGGAGCCAAACAAAAATCACCAAGACCACGCGAGGTCACGCACAGAGAGCGTGGCACGAAACGCAGTCGCGCCTCAATCCGACCAAGGCGACTAGCGCCGGCAACTATCACCAAGTGCTACTCGCCATCGACGGACGCGGCGTTGTGCCTTTTGCGAGCAACCCATCTTTACATATTCCGTCTCCTCCCCAGTCCAATCCAGTCCAATCCACGATCGGCATGCACAAGCAACGCGTCAATAGTCGAGCCGGCCAGTCGCAGTGCTACCCGACTTCCCCGCACAAATGCCATGTCTGTGTCTTGTTTCTTCTCGGATGGAACTTTCACATGGTGACTACTACTGCCAATACTACTGCTGCTACTAGGTAGGTGCCTTTAAAACCAGCGGCCCAGTCGGTTGCAGCTTTGCTTTGCTTTTTCTTTCGACTCGACTCATCCTCCCCATCACGGCTGAGCACATGCCGATTCTCACCGCGACGCCCCCCAAAGGAGAAGGAAACAACACAAGACAAGACAAGTGGCAAAATGAGGATGCCCTCGCTCAGGCTCACGGCTGTGGCTGCTCTGGTCGCCGTCCTTTCCGCCGCGCAGGCATCTTGGCAAGATTACAAGGCACAAGCGCGCACGCCGGCCTCGTGTCCCGACTACGCCGACTATTCGCGCGAACCACATGCGCCCTTCACCGAGGGGCCGTTGAACTTGCCCTTTATGCGGCCTATTGAGGCGTGTCGCACCTTTACAAGTCCTGTGGTTGAGGTCCGTGGGTCCCATTCAAGAATTCAGACACGACCACGGCACAAGGTCCTGAGTCCTGACGGCCCCTGTAGAAAGTCATTCGCGAAATGAAGTCGCGGATTCGAGACGCCGACCTGGCCAGGTTGTTCGAAAACACGTTCCCCTCGACCTTGGATACCACGGTCAAGTATTTCGACCCCGAGGCCAATTTGGCATTCATCGTCACCGGCGTACGTATCTTCTGGACATGATGACAACGATTCGCTCTTGCACAGCTGAGCTCATGCGCCTGCAGGACATAACGTAAGTTTGCGCTTCCACCTCCCTGCTCACCGCCGCGTGCCGTCATGGGCGGGATGCTAATCGTTGAGCGTTCAATGTACGGTACAGGGCCCAGTGGCTCCGCGACACGGGCAACCAGTTTGCCCACCTATACAGGCTTCTGCCGGAGGATGACAACCTCCGGGACCTCGTCAGGGCCGTCATCAACACCGAGGCGCGGTACATCTCCCGATATCCCTATTGCGGTACGCATCACCATGATATCATGAACAGTCGACTGCCTTGGGCATGCCCGAACCGGCCTCGCTGACTGACCGTCCGCAGGCGCGTTCCAGCCGCCGCCCGAGTCGGGGCTTCAGCCCACGGTGAATGACTACGCCGTCGGAGTCAAGGTCAACCCGTATGCAGCATGTCTCTTGTTGGCAAGAGGTGCCCGTTGTGCCGCTGACCAGTCTGTAGGCCCGTGGACAACCAGACCGTCTTCGAGTGCAAGGTACGTCGGCCTCGGCAGACTCGGCCCTCTCCCAGCCACAACCACAACCACCTAACCCGCAGCAGTACGAGCTGGACTCTCTGGCCGGCTTCCTCAAAATCTCCCGCTCGTACTACCAAAACACGCAAGACACATCCTTCATCAATGACAACTGTACGTGCCAGGGCACACTTCACGCGACCACAGTACGCGCTGACAACGTCCGCCAGGGGAAAACGCCATACGCAGCATCTTCCAGACCATCCACGAACAATCCCAGAGCACCTGGTCCCAAAGCTGGCAGTTCGTCAGCTTCTTCAACTGGACGGGCACGCCCGGTTCTCTCTCGCCAGCCGTGCCCAACAGCGGCAACGGCGAGCCCAAGCGCGCCAACGGCCTCGTCGCCTCGAGCCATCGCCCATCCGACGACCTGTGCGTCTTCAGTACGTGGCATCCCGAAACCTGATCAGCATCGCAGCACACCCTCCGCCTCCCCTCGGGACTAACACCCACCCCCCCAAGACTTCATCACCTCCGACAACGCCATGCTAGCCGTGGAGCTCGAACACATATCCAACATGCTCGACAGCACCCGCAAACTAAGCAGCGTCTCCAGCCAGGCACGCCAGCACGCCCGCACCATCCGCGACGCAGTCCACCAACACACCAAGACGCCCGACAACATCTTCGCCTACGAGACAAACGGCTACGGCGGCCAGTACGTCATGGACGACGCCAACGTGCCGAGCCTCGTATCCCTCCCGTACCTCGGATTTCTGCCCAGAGACGATGACGTCTACAGGAAGACAAAGGAGGCCATGTTCTCGCGCTTGAACCCGTACTACGCCGTTGGCGAGAAATTCGAGGGAATCGGGTAAGTGATGAGAAACAAAACCAAGAAGGGAAAAATTAAAAAAATAAAAAACGGCGTTTGGATTGCTAACGTCTGCTCCACCCCGGCCCTGGCAAAGTGGCCCTCACGTCAATGCCACTTATCCCTGGCCCATGTCTCAGGTGTCGGCGATTTTCGGCACTGACGACGACGAAGAGATTGAGGAGCGTCTCAAGCTCATTCTTGAAAGCACGTCCGGGCTGGGCCTTATCCATGAGAGTGTGAATATGAACAATGCTAGTGACTTTACGCGACCGTGGTTTGCGTGGGCGAATAGCTATTTTGCCGAGATGATGTTGGATTTGGCCGAAAGGAAGCCGTGGACAATTTTCAAGGACAACACGTCTTATATCGCTGGAACGGCGGAGGCTGATGAAGAAAGAAGCACTGGGCCGACTCGCTGGGCATTGTGAGGTTGACGTTCCAAACGGCGCTTGTTCAGACCGACTCGACGAGAAGCGAGTCAAGAATTCTATTCGAGGCGGCCATGTGACATGTCGACAAGGCGTGACTATGAATTAAATATACAAGTCATTTATTCGTGTACACCCTTAGGCAGTGCAAAGGCCGTCATGCACTGATGGGGGGTTTGATGAGGCGTCTCCCCAATCGAAGCTCCCCAGCAGTCTCCCTATCTCGGTTGATCGATCTGCTCGGATATAGTCGTCTGTGATTTCGATATTCAGAAAGAAGGAACTTTGTGGAGAAGAATGCGCCAGGATTCCTTACCTCGTTTGGGAAAGTACCACCAGTCGTTGGATCGGAAAGCGAGATCTGTGAGCTGGGACAGGGGGTCGTTCCAGCCCTGGGAAGGGTGTGAGTTCACTTTGCTTCTCCCGGCTCCCAGCCGGACTCGGACATGAGCTTACGGTGTTGCGGGTGTCGCGATGAGCGTGCTTGCTCCACTCGACGTAGACCTTGGGATGGTCGAGGTCCTGTCTTGCGTCGTCGCCGCCGCGCGGTTTGGTCGCGTCTTGGGTGTTGATGGTATTCTGTATCTTGGCCCACTGCAGGCGGCCGTAACCGCTGTGTTGAGAGAGGAACAGCTGGTCGGGGCGCCAGTTTCCATCGGCGGCCTTGGCGAAAACAACTATCACGCGTTCCCAGTCGCTGCACGACTCATCAGTCATCGGCACACGCATGATTGAGTAGGTCAGGTCGCCCTGAGGCGGGGCGACGCAGCACCCGGCCAGGGTTTCTTACTAGGGGTGTCCGAAGATCTTGTTCGGGTTATTGCCGTCTTTTGTGTAGAACAAGTTGTAGACGACTCGGACAGAGGTATCCGAGCACTTCTTGTAGCTGTAGTAGATGGGGAACGAAGGGCTGGGGTTGCCGATGCCGACGCCTGGGTTTCGACAGTCGCAGCCAACATCGGGCCAGTCGCAGAGCCTCGAGGACGGGATTTGCTTTCCGTCCGGAGTCGTTGCGAGCGTGGGTATACAGGGAGGTTGGTGCAATGCTTGTCCAAAGAAGAACATTGGCTGGGCCTTGATGGCGAGACTGACTCCTCCCTCGTTCAGCATTCGGCTCATGTCCGCGTCGGATATGGGTGTCACGGCCGAGGCCGTGGTCGCCAACCATGCGGCGGCCAAAGCTTGCTTGATGACACTGCGCATCCTGAAATTTCCAACAGACTGGTTGGGAACCGTGATGCAATTGATACATGTCACTGTTCCAAAGAGGGGGCCATCGTGCTTTAGTAGTCCACGTTGGTTTTCATCCCCCAATCCGCTACGTTGGGAAAATGAGCGGCAAATCGTCAAGAGTCAAGGGCAGCATGCAGCATCGCAATGGCGGCCGGGCGCTCCGGTGTGCGGTGTGCTCTTTCGCGTCAGGGGACGTTGCCATGTCGCAACACTAACAACTATCGCATATGGCTACCCTTCCTCGGCTAGATGGATCGCGTTGTCCGTCGCGCCTGGAAGTGGTGCTCGTGGCACCCGTCCTTGGTGAGGTGCCATGGCGTTGAGCAATGGAGATGGTCCCGTGGGATTCACGTGCCCCGTGGCGTAGGTTTGTTGGGACGGGAAAAGGGTCATTCTGTGACTCGGGCGTCCGTATTCAATGGAAGATCAGCAGTGATGAGGGGCGTCATTTGTGGGAAATTTAGCTGCATTATGCTGTGGATATGCGTTGTGTCGTGTCAACGCCCGATGAGTAACGTAATTGTCGGCAGGAGCTGAATTCCCCATTTCCACTGCGACATGGAGTGCTGAATGCAACGGCCAGACCGTCGCTCCATTTGGATTCGGAGAGGACGGATCAAAGTTGGAGAAGGCAAATGGATTTTGTCGTGTGTGTCGGTGCCAGATGATTTTTGAGTTTTCAATCGTTTTTTGAACTAGAGCCAGGACCCAAACGCCATTGTCGATTGACGTGGGAGGCGTTACCGAGTCGGCACCTGCCACCGTTGACCAGCCGGATGTCCCCGTGTGCCGCTACGTCCGGACCCACCAGACGTGTTCTGGTTGGTCAATTTCCACTGCCAGAAATGATCCCTAGGATTTTGACATCAGACGTTATCTTATGGGGCAACATGACGGATGCTAACCGATTCCTTTGTGCACTGCGCCAAGCGTGGTTGATGTGGTCGCTGTCAACAAAAACAATAATTTAGGGGGGCCGTCGTGTTTCATGGCTACGACATACACGTCCGTCCAGGGACGAGTCATCACCATGTCTGTAAAGTTATCCAATGGTGGCGTACGATTCCACGGTCGGGGTTCCTCAACTCTGAAAGGCGGCACTGCAAGGGCAACCACTGCATGGCGTGCTTTAGGGCCACACAGGAATCTTGGAGCGGCGAGATGGTCATTGCCCTGACTTCTGACGAGGAGACATTAGGCAGGCATAGTCTATAGATGTGACGGGCCAGAATCTCCCAGACTGTGAGTCTAGACATGTCAAATACGCGTCTTGGCATCAGGCTCAATCAGGTTGCAAGACTCGATGCGCTTAAGGAGCTTGCGTGAATCCTAGCAGACAGTTTAGTTTTCGCCATCTTGGTGCGAGATAATCATTCATGACGCAAAATAACAAGTTTGCACCAAGTCATGATGGCGAGGCCCGACGTTGTCACGGTTGACAAGTGGGGCGAAAAGTGGCCGGCCTACTGTCATTGTGTGTATGGCAGCTAGGATCGCAGGATAATGACCAATCTGTGGCCTCAACGATTCCGAAACTGGAAATAGTTAGTTAGTTATCCCATTGTAAAAAGCAGAGCGTGGCGTGGTGTCGATCTCGTCTCTTGTGTTGAGTCTGGAATCTTCGGGCGGAGCGTGGCCACATGTATTTGGAGGAACGCGATTGATTGATTGATTACAAAGCCCCGCCAAGCCCCATCCAGCAGCAAGCAGCACCACAGACCATCCGAAAGCCTTCCTTCCCTCGTCTCTCGTCCTCGTACCGAGGAGTTTCACCAAGGAGCGGCTTCGTTCTGGACAGACATCCTTCCTGCACCAAACAGGACGACGGCTTCACCTCCACACACTGAACACGTACAGGCCACAGTCGCATACATTCACCCACCGCATCAGACAGCTCACGTGTCCAGATAAGGCCTCCCCACAGAAAATGGCCCAGGCAGTCCACCACATCAACTCTCTCGCGGAGCTGCAAGCCCTCTTCTCGTCGGCCATGTACGTCGCGGTTGACTTTTCCGCCGAGTGGTGCCAGCCCTGCAAAATGATTGGCCCCATCTTCCAAAAGCAGGCCGCCCAGCACGGCAGACCGGGCTTCTTGGCGTTTGCCAAAGTCGACGTCGACCGAGCCAAGGAGGTGGCAGAGAAGTACCGCGTCTCAGCTATGCCGACATTCATGTTCTTCAAGGAGGGGAAGCAAGTTGCTGTGAATGGCCAAGCCATGATTCGGGGCGCTGACCCCAAGTCGTTGGCAGCCGCGGCAGAGAAGCTCGCCGCTTTGGCGACCCAGAAGGCCGGGGAGGCCGGGAAGGCATAACGGCGCAAAGAGAGAGGGGGCGCTCGGGCTCGGGCTGCGGCTGTCGTGTGCAACGAGGCTCTGATAGTTCCTCTGGCGGCTCTCACTCTGGGCTTGCAGGTCGACAGATTGTATGCGACAACGTCATGAAGAATACGAGCATGTTGGATATTTCTCAGAAGCAGTGGCACTAAGTGTTTTATTTGTGAACAAGGCTCTGAGCGTGAATGATTCTATGCCGCGTCCATTGCAGTCGTAAGTCATGTCTCATGAGCGAGCGCTACCATCTGAAGCTCTCTTCGAAGTATTCCATCTGACACGGAAAAGTGGCCAAGCCTTGTACGACAGCCCTTCTGGCGTCGTCTGCCATCCTGGCTGGGCCACATGCAACAACCGCCAGACTGCATTCGCCTGCGTCTTCCGCAGCCGCGAGGATAATCGCCCTCGCGTTCGGCCGCCCGTAATGTCGCGACACTTTTGGTGGTATGTCCGCGCCCATGTTTCTCTCCGTCTCGGCAGAGAAGTACAGGTCGATGGCGAGACTCGCGTCGCCAAGAGCCTCTCCCACGTCATTCGAAAGAACGTCTGCTGCGAAGTCTGGCTCCCGCGTGGCCCAGTGAACGTGGGTAGACGTTGTTTGCTTGTTACATCCCGTCAGGACCTTGAGATAGGAGAGGGGCACGACGATGCCACTGCCCCCCACAACGAACAGGACGTGGTCGAATTGGTGTAGCGGCTGGCTGTGTCCGTATGGCCCGTCCATCAGCACCCGCAGTGACGCTGGTTGCGGGGACTCCTTGGCAGCCAGATCTCTCAGTCGAGACGTGAAGCTGTCGTATGGCCTGATGAGGAATAGGAGAAGCCTCGAGTCTGGCTCGGCAGTCTCCTGATACTCTGCGTTGACGACACCGGATTCGAGGAGAGGGGCTTGTTCGCCAAAGGATTTGCCTGGCGGGCTGGAGTCGGAAACAGATGCCACAGTGAAAGGGTGGCTTTCCCAGAATCGTTCGTCGTCGATGACTGAGAGATAACAATACGTCCCGGGTCGAACTTTGTACGCTCTGAAACGACAGGGAACATGGAGCCGCACAATGTTTGTGGACAGACTGTACGTGGCGGTGGCGACAGTCGGCTTTAGCGTCGGGTTGAAAAAGACGATTCGGAGGATGCGTAGGACTCTGTCAAATATCCACAGGAACACGGGGATCCAGAAAAAGGCGTCAAAATGGCCGTTGAAAATAGACACATGGCTATTGTAGGTCAACATTGTACTTGTTTGGGCAACCCATCCGAGCTACTCACCCGAGCATAGTGACCAGGACGACTGCGGACATGCCAATGTGCAACACGAGAAACAGCTCGTACCTTTGGCGCCGTAGCCAGTAGACGGAGCAAGCTATCAAGGCACACATAAACACCGTCGCCTGTACCATGTCAGCAATGGCTCGGGAGCCCCTGAAAACAACAGGACGTACCACTTCGCCAGCTACCCAGAACGTTCGCCTCCACCATGAAGCAAAATACGTCCACCCGCCGTCTGAGATGGAGTTAGCAAGGGACCCAATCAACACACGTCGGATCAGCCTGACGTACTGTACAGAATGAGCGCCGTATATCCCACCGAATGAACAACAGCCTGGAGCGTTGCGATCCTCGCAACCCAGCGATGAAAGTTGTTGTACGTGCCAAAGTCCCATCCCGTCAGCCAAATAGCAAAGTTGTTACGCATGCCAAAGAGCCAAATGACAGGAAAGTTGGCAAAAGAAATAATGCCCGTCCGGTCAGAAACATAGCGTAGCCATTGCCGCAAAGGCGACGGGAAACTAGGAGGAGCGTCAGCCGCATTCCGAGGAGGGAGGGCAACAAGACGGTAGGCCCGTAGCGCGTACTAAAGATTGACGGGTGTGATTTTGTACCCGTACATGCTGAAGGCGAGGTTCGCGATTGCAAACGCAGCAATGGTGAGGCTCTGCATCCGAGGAGGAATCGTCCCGCACCACACCTCCGTGGCGCATCTGTATCCAAAAGTGGCCGGTAGCAGAATCCTCCGCCTCATCCACGTTGCCGTCTCGGAGCGGTGTCCACGGCACAGTCGGTACGTCTTCAGGAAACGAATGGATCCGAGCACGACTCTGTTCCCGACGCCCAGGGCCACCACGACGATCCAAAACATGATCATGAAAGAGCCGTACAAAAAGTGGTAGTGCTTGACATATTTGATGGCGTCCTTTCGTCAGAGTCAGCACTAGCCCCCCTTTCCCCGGGCTGGCGGGAATGAACGGATAGGACACCCCCCCTTACCAAGGTATCAAACCAGGCTTTGTGAAGCTCAGAAGCGGGCAGCACGACTTCCTTGACCGTGTCGTTGGGCGCAAACGTCTCGTCGAGCCTGATGTGTCGCAGCCTCTCAATGTCGCCCGCCGTGTAGTTGGACACGATAGAAATCGGAGGAAGCGCACGCATGCCCGACCCGACACAGCTCTCGTTCAGGGCCGCCACCTCGGCGGCCCTTGCTTGTTGCTCGCAGAATACGTCCAAGCACAGATACATGGACATGACTGCCGTTTGGCTTCGACATATTTCGAGCCCCAAACTTGCCCGCGACTCGTCCGCATCGCCGAATCGCACTGGCGCCAGGGCATTCTGGCACGACTGGAGACATAAATCGGTGGATCGTGTGAGTGGTTGCGCTGCTGCGAGCCGACTTAGAATGCACCAGCAGAGTGCCGATGCCAGACGAGCCTTTGGGGCCATCTCATCTGCGCCGCCGACTGTGGAATGTCGTCTTTGCACAGTCAGACCGGCCGTTGGAAACGTGCGCCTTTTTCGTCTGGCCCATGCGCTTGGCGGAAGTCATCTGATAAGATTGATAAGGGAGCGACCCACATCGTGACCCCTTTTGGCGATCAAGGGGATAACAAACGCGGCCTGTGTCAGACGTTTTCAAAGTCCAACAAACATTCATTCATGACGATGCCTGATATTCTCAAAGACAGAACTGCATCACAGGAACCATCTCCAAGCCTAAAGTTTCATCCCTCAACGCCACTCCGTCTTCTCACCGGTGAGTTTCGGCCGAGAGTGGAGATGGCGTTGCGAGCATCATCAGCCATGCCGGTTTCAAGGTCCACATGGCGCCGTCAGCTCGTCTCCAATCATGGATCAGACAATGCCAAGGGTAGCTCCTGGTCTATAACCCTAACCCCAACCCGTCCTGAAAAGTGGAATTACTGCTAGATCGCGAACCCTTGTTGTCTACGACCTCAGTCTCGACAGGGGCCATGGTTGGAACTTAAAAGCAAGGCCTCCTTGAACACAGAGACGAGACTCTCTTTGCAGATGCCCCAGCATGAGCGGGCTGGTAGGTTCCATGTCGGCGAAGAATCGGCAACGTCGCACTCGCGCCGCCGGCTCGTACATAGTATCCGTATGCATTGAGACAGCTAGTTCTCTGCCGAAGAGTGATGCGAGTCCTCGAGGAAAAACAAGTATTCGGACCAGGCCGTGCTGCCGGGGCTTGACTGCTGTGAGTCTGTGACGGCGATGGGAACTCCTGGCCGGCTTGATGGCTGTTTCCTATCACAGAATGTCAAAAGCGACTCGACCTCTGCGCTGCGAGTGGTCACAAAACTTCGAGACAATCACTTATACGACGTTTTTTAACCGGAGTTGACATTCACGCACCTCCAAATATGGATCAACAACTACCAACTTCCAACACCGAACATGCAAGCTCAACCGAGTCACAACACATTCCTCCTGATGACCACATTTTCATCCATGCCGGCCGACGTGCCGTAAATTAATTCATCGGCTTCATTGGTCAATTATTCCCAGAACTTCAGTAAATGATATCAATACCACTTCTGCGTACACAGGACCCCCCCCCCCCCGATATGAGGTCAGACCAAAGTAACTACAGCGGGGGAACAGTCAAGGGTGGTAAATGCTTCAACGCTTGTCTCAACTCGGTCTCAAGCTTTACAGTTCGCGTGAATGGTTCGTGTGGGGGGGAATAAGAGCAGGTTCTTTGACAGCAATCTTCGTGTGCTCCTACTCTCAGCAGGTCCAGGTGAACTGCAATTCAAACAGAAAACGACACGAAGCAGAAATTAGACACACATAATTGGCTCCGATGTATCGCAAGATTCAGATCTGGAATACGTGCCGTGGGGCAACCTTTTTCCGCCTCAAGCCGCCGTGTACGTATGGAGGCTGGTGAAACATTCCCCCGACTGCCAGCAATATTTACTTGGTCGCCATTTGCGCAATGTACAGACAAGCGTCTAGCAAGCCGTAGTTACAGAGACGCTCATATCTAGTATCAACAATGAAGTATGTAGTGCTTGGGGGCTAAACGCACACAAGCCCAAGGCTTGATATGCCGCCTTGGGAGGTGTGAGCCATCATTGTTCCAAAGAAGCCTATTATGTCTGTCTCTGCCTCAGATGGACCAGTAGTGATAATGTCGTAACTATCTATTTCGCCATCCCTTGTCGGGCCGTCGGGGCTGTGAGTATTCTGCGAGCGGATAGCCCGGCCTTTGTTGGTGAAAATCTAGGTTTCTACAAGTCAGTCGAGTACTTGGATGAGTCCTGTGGAAGGCTCACCTGGAGGCTCGTCAGCAGCTCGGTACAAGGATCGCGAATGCCTTCGACTCTGGTAATCCGCTCCCCTCTTGCCCCGTCAATGGCCAGCGACGTCGTAGCCAGATTCTCGCCGGGTTTCAGTCCGTAGCGTGGTCTGGTGAACTCGGCTTGTTCCATTTCTTCTCCGTCGCTGCCGAACTGGAATGCTATAGAACGTACGTGCTTGTCTGCTGTGATGATGACCTTGTTGAGGTTTTGCAGCCGCTCCCCTCGAGCTCCGCCAAAGATGCAATAATGATACGGCTGCTCCGGAGGGCGACCAAGTTTGTTCAGTAAAACGTATTTCAGGCCCAGAGGCGGCAGTTCTGGGTACCAGATCTCCTTTTCGGGCACGACGAGCCGGTCCACGTGCCGGTCCTCGAGTGCGAAGCCCTCATGTTGTGAATCAGAAGGCCACGAATCGGAAGTAGAGCAAATAGCGATGCCGATGAGTTTGAATCCCTATATGCGGTCAGCTACAGCACACTGAAGCTTGGAGTGACGGGCGACAACTTGCATCGAAACTGCATCTGATCTTGTCAACGTATTGGGGGACTGGATTGCCGCCGCCAGAGGCCACGACAAGTCTGCGTTTTGGGAGCACGGCAGGCTCCCCGACCCATTCCAACGGCTTCACGGACTCTGAAAGGATGCGGAGCCCCCGAAGCCCTACATTATCGAGAGCGATGTCGAACCCTGTGATGGACTCTCCCGTGAGGGTCTGGTGACTGCAGGTGGATGAGGAGTGCTCTTCGGGTCGAAAGTAGCCCAGAGTCTTCTCCCAGTTGTTGACACCGCGGATGCGAATCCCAGATATGTAGCGCTCGTTAGCCAGCGTGACGAAGGAGAAGGAAGCATGCCTCGTGTGGCGAGGAAGCTCGACAACTTGATCGACGAGGCTCGTTACATTTGGCACCTTGCACAACGAGAGTCTCTTGTAGTTTGCCGCGTTCTGCCAGAAAGCCTCGTCTTTTCTGATATCTGATTCCGAGCCTCGCAGGAGCTTTTCGTTTTCATGTCTTTGATCTATGAGGTGACACATTGCGTGAGCCAATCGCCATGTTCGTCGCCGGTTTCTCGCCGTACGGCTGTTGTGGTTTTTCCTGCACAGCTGATACCAGAGATCCCACTGGTGACCCAGGCAACGGGGCATCGTCTCGTTTACATACCAGAACTCGCCGTCTGAAGCGAACCGAGATTTCCAGAATTACCGGAACCCTTGGCTTCCGTTGAAGAACGGATCGGCTAGTTGGAGGTTCCTCACGCTGGCACTGGGGAGGTAAAGTAGTATGTCTGAGACGATTTCGACAGGCAGCCTTCGTAACGAACTCTCCATCGCCGAGATACGTTGATGGATTTCCGGATCTTCAACGTGTAACTCGTCGGCGAATCCACCAATGAAGCGTTGTGCATCTTCAACAGGGTTGGACTGACGCTCAAGGCGTGCCGCAACGGCATGCAACTCTGCCATGACATTCGGGTCCATCGGATCTTCGTCATAGTGACAGTCGCTTCCTAATGAGAAAGTCTCTCTGTTATACAGGTTGAGGAAGCCCTGCTGCCCCTCGTGCGGCTCGAGTGGCTGCAGGCTTTCGTAGTTGTGTATCCAAACAGCGCCCTCGATGCTCAGAGGAAATGACGCCAAGATGTCGAAGATGGCCTGCACATGCGGTGTCATGTCGGTACACCCTCGAGACTCGCAAAGCATTTTGTAACAAGGTTCATGGATGGGATACCCGGGTCGGATTGGGCTCTCGTGGAACGGTCGGAAGCTATGGTGCAAGTCGTTGCACTCGGGCCGTTCGTTCGTGGTCACGCAGGCAATAATTAAAGAATATAGCTCATCGTGCCTCGGCGTCAGGAAGCCGTCGTCGTACGGGAGAGGTTGTGAGAGTAGGACATCGGTCGTCGGCGCCCTGTAATGGCTAAATACTCGCATCGTCAGCTATCGTGTGACGCAGAGGTTATTCGGGAGATGCAGAACCGCTCACATGTCGCCATGTTGGGACTTCTTATATACTACAGCAGTATTTGCATATGTTAGCTCGACCGTCAACGAAGTGCAGGTATGAATTACCAGCTATGGTGGGAACAAGGCAAAGAAATGCAGCAAGTGATGCATATTCCAAGCTTACCGGCACGGGCGTGACGCTCCTCAAGAAGAGCGAAGCCACACAGAAAACATGTCGTAGAAGGCATGACAAGGTGGTGAGTCGTTCTGATTCATGACAAATGTCGACGAGAAGAAATAACTAATCAAGGATGACGCTGCAAATCATCATCGCAAACCAGTAACAGGGCTGGGCGTGCGGAATCAAGAGAAGGTCCGGTCGTTAAATAGCAGACAGGGGCGTCGTATGAGCCAAGGACGCGTCTTTCATGATAAACTTGAGCTTCAATGACGCGAACAATAGTCGTGCCCAAGAGGAGTCCGGGCATTGTCCAGCAGATGTTCGCCCAGTCTGCCGGGTGAGCGCTTGCTCAATGCGCGTCTTGTCTTCTTTTGCAGCAGCTCCCCATTGTTGGTCGACGACTTTTCACCTTTCACCCCATGCGAGGATGCCCTTGGGCCTTGGCCATGAATGTTGGCCATGCGTTCAGTCTCTCGCTTTGGGCTGTTCTTCCAGACTGCTTGAGCTTGGCCCCTTCACTGGTCATGACGACGATCCGAGACATTTTTTTTTCGCGATACACTGGCTTCCCCGTGGCGAAGGGCGTCTTCACGCTTACACCGAGGCTGGTAAGTCGCCTTTCGTTTGACACGATGCAGTTGATGACCAGTTCGGACAACGCCGTGAGTCATTCCGTCGCGTGGCATTCCGCTGTCCGGATATTTCCGCAACGCAGGATCAGTCTCGTCAGAGCTCATTTTGTCCGCCGGCTGTTCCTGGATTCGCAACACAACTCAGCAGCAGAGTGCTGCCTATGGGCCACAATCCAGAACCGTCTGCACCAACGCCCGAGGACAAACAAAGAAGCTGATGCTGGGGTGACAGCCTGACAATTGTCAAAGAATTAGTTAACTTTCCATAAATGAACGCAGATTCAGAACCCTATTATTTATTGCCTTGTCAGCATTCCAGCCCAGTGGCCGCGGGCGGGCTGTGAAGCTCGTCTTGAACTTGGCTGTTATGAAATGACATGAAAATACTCAGCAGTCGTTTTCGGCTCGTAACGCATGCGCCCAAGATGTACTTGCATTAAGGTATTGTGAAGCTGTAGTGTTGCTATGCACCCCTGAGAGGTCTCTTTTCTCGTCAGACAGAAGGTTGTTCCTCAGACCTGGTCAAAATCGTGACTTGACCTCCTAGTACATCGTCTTCTTCAAAGCCTTCCCCTCAGACCATGCCACCAAATCATCCACCTGCTGCTCGTAAAACCCATTGATGGTCCTCTCCTCCACGTACGCAACGTGCGGCGTAAGAAGCACTTGACTCTTGCCAAGTGTACCCCAATCCGACCTCCGCCACTCACTATCCTTGGGCAACGGCTCTAGGTCAAAAACATCCAACGCAGCGCCTCTAATCTTGCCAGCTTTGAGAGTGTCCAGCAGGTCCCTCTCCACTACCAAAGGTCCCCGGGAGGTGTTGACGAAGAAGGACGAGGGCTTCATCCTCGACAGGTCTGCCCCCGTGACCAAGCCCCTTGACCGGTCCGACAAGACCAAATGAACAGAAATCACATCCGCCGCGCTGAACAACTCCTCGCGGCTGACAGCTTTGAAAGTCCTTTCGCCATTTGTCTGCTCTGCAGGCAATCCCTGCTCCTTGGCTTGGGCATCCGCCGCCTCTTGGGTCAAGTTGGTACTCCAAGCGATAATCTTCATGCCGAATGCCACACTCATGATACGCGCCACAGCGCCACCCAGGCGGCCTAGACCGACGAGGCCAAGCGTTTTCCCCGATACGCTCGTGACAGGGTTTGTCTGCCAGGCACCGGCCTTGACGGCTGCATCGTTCTGCGCAATACTTCTAGTGACGCTGAGAATCAGGGCGATGATGTGCTCGGTGGTACTGTCCACCGGCCCCAGCTTATTGTCCGAGGCGGCGGTGACGGGTATGCCACGCTTCTGGGCAGCATCCATGTCGATGGCTTTGTTGCGGCCACCACAGCTCAGGATGAGTTTAAGATTCGGGAGACGGTTTATTAGATCTGCTGGCAGGGGCGTGCGTTCCCGCATGGTGGCTGTGATTCTCGCTCTATGAGCTGAGTCCTGACTGTCTGATCACAGTGCTCGAAGAGAGGACTCACATATAACATCAAAGGGCTCCAGTCTTTTGACAATGTCATCCTTGACAGCTTGCGGCGTAGCTGGGTGATTATACGGAAGAAGTGTATCAGGGTAATAGGTCACGGCGAAGTTGGAATCCAGCTTGTTGAAGTGAGGGGGTGCGAAGCCCTGGTAATCGTCAAGAACTGCTACGCTTGTTACCATGTTTGCCGCAATTGGTGCAAGTCCTTTTCTTCTTCGGTCAATGATCGAGATCTGACGATATTTTGTACTTTTGTGTAGTTCATCGCCGAGATGTGATCGTCAGGAAGACTTCGAATGATGACGCCATCTCCGACAGTCGGTCGGATGTATGAGCACTGTGTGGCACTGTCCGATATCGCTCCGCCCAGCAGTTGCTCGCATGGAAGTCGATTGTTTCCAAGCATGCATATCTGAGCATCAAATAGGGCTTTGTTTCAGCATCATGCCGGCGGGATATTTTTTTGTCTCCGAATCTATCGCGGTGCGCCATCCTAGTCATGGTTGCTGGACCAGGAGGCGAGGACACACTGCCCACCATCGAATCGCACAAATGGCTTCATTGAACAACGACTGCCAATTCTAAATCTTGCTCGGCCTTGACCCGCCGTCCAGCCTAATGACAGTGCCATTGAGCATAATGTTCTCAATGCAGTGCTTCACCAGCGCCGAGAACTCCTCCGGCCGTCCCGATCTCTTGGGGAATTCAAATGTAGCCTCCAGCGACTTCCTCACTCTGCCGCTCATCATGCTAGTCATTCTCGTCTCAAACAGCGAGGGTGCAATCGTCACCACGCGGATACCGAGGCGCGCGAGATCTCGAGCCATGGGCAACGTCATGGCTGCAACAGCACCCTTACTGGCCGAGTATGAAATCTGGCCCTTTTGGCCGTCGAAAGCGGCGGAACTAGCGACCATGATGACTATGCCGCGCTCTCCGTCGGCGCCCTCGTCTGTTTTGGCTATTTCAGCGACACCTTGGCGGACAAGGTCCAGAGTGCCGCGCAGATTGACGCCCAGGACGAAGTCAACGTCGTCGAGGCTGAATGGGGCACCATTTCGATCTAGGATCTTGTAGGAATTAGGCTACTAGTTCTCATCTTGTAGATGTCGCGTTTTCTCAACATACCGTTGCCGGGGTCGAGACTCCCGCCGCAGGAATGACACCTCCAATCGGTTTGTTCGAAGCCTCGGCCCACTCAGCTGTACCTTGAACGGCTTTGGTGATGCTCTCCGTGTTCAAAACATCGCAGACAAAGAACTTGGCAGATGATCCAATGTCCTTGACCAGTTCATTTCCATCGTCGTTCATGTCGAGAATGGCAACGTTGGCGCCGTTTTTGACGAGTTCAAGAGCGCACGCTTTGCCCAGGCCCGACGCTCTGTGAGAGTGTCAGTAAGCATGTGAAAGGAGTCGTGGGTCCGGGGCGGCTGCATACCCTCCAGAAATGAGAAACGTGCGGTTCTCAATCTTCATGATGATGAATTCTACTTGAATCAGTGGCAGACGGACGAAATTGCGTTGTCAATGAAAAACGTTGTTCGTCTGGTGCTCACTGTTCACCAGATTCGAGACAAGGAACCTCGGCTGATCAAGGAAAATGAGCAGGAAATCGCCCCCGTAAATTGCCTTTTTGGGCCAGCTACAGTCTCTGGCAGCTTACAAACATATGAGTATACTCTAATTTTTGGCGGTGGATCATCATATATTTACGCGGTAGGCCGGTACTTGCTTGGTCAAATACCTTTTGCCCGTACTGTATCTCACACTGTACAATCAGCCTGCTCGGGAAAAGGCTGTATTGCTTCACGACATGAAGCTTCTCCTTTTGAGTACATTTTTCAACACGGGGTGTACAGGAAGCCGAATCATTGTTCCTCTCTCACGGATCGAACATGCTGTGCTAGATTGATTCCTTTCCTATGTCATTTTGGAAGAGTACTGTTTGCAAGCGTTACTCAAAGAAAGTGGTCCGCATACCCTTCCTTTGAGCTCACATTATAAGGCGGGAGAAAGTTTGTTGTTGTGATCATCTTGCTTTCTGAAATATGAACATGAAAAGTCTGGCAGCTTCACACTCGACGAGTCGTCGATCAAACGCATAACTGTGACACTTACAGTACTCCGTACAAGGTGTTCCCAGTGACGCGCTTAGTCATCTCCACTGGTCTCGGTCGCGCGTCGTCCTCATTTCACGTCCATCTCACCTCGCCAATCAGTCCACACTACACCGCAACCAGCACCCTTTTACTCGCCGCTGGTCGAGAATTTCAACATATATCCCTCTTTCGAATGCACCTCAGCATCAGCTTGGAACTGGTCCGGTCGAACTGTCTGCAACCTGCTGCCCGGTATGACGAGACCACGAGGTTCCTCCGGTGCGAGTGACGATAGCACGGGCACGCCCCGCGATCAGGTGCGCTTACGAGGCCTCGGATCGCTCGGAATCTTTGTGATGGCGCTGACGATGATGCAGGAACTGGGGAGCATGTACGATTATCTGGCCAAGATTATACTCCTTGGACCCAGCGGCACAGGAAAGTAAGTAGCTTTGGGCTGGCGAAGTACATGTGCCAACTTGATCAGAGCTCCGCTTACAGACTTGCGACAGATCCTGCTTGCTACATCGCTTCATTAAAAATGAGTGGCGCATTTTGTCGTCGCAAACCATTGGCGTCGAGTTCGCGAGCAAAATTGTCAAGGTCGGAACGGGAGCGCGGAGGAAACGAATCAAGCTCCAGGTGCGAGGACAGCTCCCTATACCTAAATATTGACTTTCCTGCCAACACACACTCTAACTGGCTGCACTCAGCTATGGGATACTGCAGGCACGGAACGGTTTCGATCGGTTTCAAGATCATATTATCGTGGCGCGGCCGGTGCCATCTTGGTCTACGACATTACATCACACGCATCCTTCAGGGATATTCAACCTTTCCTCAACGATGCGCGGGCGTTGGCTTCACCGAACTTGAGTCTGATGCTTGTTGGAAACAAACTTGACCTGGCTTCAGAATCGTTGATCGATGCGGGCTTGCCACCGCCAACACCAAGCAGTGTTGATTCAACCTCTACAATTACAGCCGGTGGTGCGAGCTCCCTCTCAATATCTACCACGAGCACAACTGGAACAATCACGGGCAGGGACCGCGTCGGCTCCATTAGCGCTGGTACGCACCAGCGAGCAACAATTGCCCCTGACGGACGAGAAATCAGCACATCGGAAGCAACTCGGTGGGCGAGCACTGCAGGAATTTCTGTAGTGACAGAAGTCAGCGCCTTGAACGGCGAGGGTGTAGAAGAAGTGTTTGCCCGCCTCGCACGCATGATCTTAACCAAGATCGAGCTGGGAGATATCGACCCCGATGACCCCATGAGCGGCATACAATACGGCGACGGTGGTGCCTGGAACACAGCCAGTGACGGCGGTAGTATTAAGAGCTCCATGACGGGCGCTACCGTAGACGACGGTATAAGCGGGCTACGGCGTCGCAAGCGGGGGAGGAACAGGACTCAGAACTGGGGGTTAAGGGAGTGGGAGGAAGTGTTTACGCTAAGCAGCCGCAATCGAAGAGGCGGAGGTTGTTGCTGATTGGGGAGACTCATGTGCTGCCAGTCTTGGTTTCTCACCAATCATGCATGTTGTTTTGTGCGATTCCATTTGCTACGTTCAGCGTTGCCGGCGTTTGGGAATAGATGTCTCGAGAAGAGACACTGCTAGAAGAGGCGGCTGAGAGGCAGTTTGTCGTTCTCTTTTCCTGGACTGAAGTTCCCTCGATTGTCCTCGTCCTAATTTTGTTCACGCTGGCATACTTGACTCCAGAATAATGATATCCTATGAGCACACGATAATCAAACCTAGCCGCTCCAAATATCCAGTATGCCCGCTGCGTTTGATCTGTTTGCTTCCCTTTTTTTGACAAATCAGTTTCTATTGCTGCGCTTGTGGAATGTTGGCAGTTTGACGGGTAAATGAGGGCACAGAATGGTACTCCTGAGCCCAACACGCTATTCTAGTAGTGGTCATCATGTTCTACAAAGGGTTGTATCTCATTGGAAATGAAGTCATCCCAAGATATACTGGACAGCTTGTATTTAAAGGAATGAAGCCCTGCTTGTAGATGGCCGCGCTTAGACTCCAACAGAGAGCTACACACAACGGCGACGAGCTGCTTTGCTAACGATATACTGCCCAAGTACTCCTCAAAGAGTTACGCTGCTGGCCGTGAGATTGTCCCCCAATCGGCGAAGATTGCATCAACTCGACCACGAGCTACATCTAGTTGTTGCATGTATCATTGGCACCGTTGGTTCCAGCAATACAGCCCTGCTCGCAGATGTCGAGCCACACAACGCCAGCATCAGGTTGGCAAATGAACAAAGAGTTTTCAAGATGGGTTCCAGTTTGAGGCTGTCCAGCAACGCAGAGAGCGCCTTCGACTGTACTTTCGGCATATCCAAAGTCTGCGAGTGCGGTTAGTTTTGTCAAGCCGGGCAGAGAGGTTGTTGATGCTCACACCAATTCTGAAGAGAAGAGCCACAGTATAATTGGCCGGCATCGCAGTTATGCAAATTCGCCTCGACAAACGAGACAATGACGGCCGTGGCGGCAAGCGAAACAGGAAGCTTAACCATTTTGAATAAGTAGTCGACCTTTGAGCCTCGGATCAAGTTTTCTTGGGAAGAAAGACCAGAGAAGACGTAATTGACCTTGGAAGTTTGCAGAGGAAGACGGATGGCACTTTCATGATTTCACACGCCACGTCTGGTGGTAGACGAGCTCAGCTGTCATTGCAGAAAGTGACTAAGAATTCGGGGCATTCTCTGACTACCCGTATCACGGTCACAGTTCAGACTAAGCGGCAAGTGTCAGTTATGGTCTTGATGTGGATTAAAAAGCTGACAAAATGTACGTTATCCTCCTTGGATAAATTCTCCGCGGACCTCGAGTGTGCTTGGTTGACAGGTTTTGCATGGTGAGTCGCGCTATGGATCCTTTTTGGTGATTTTGCATGACACCACTTTTCGGTGTATTTCATGCTGTCCTTTTGAGACTTCAGACATAGGTTTGAAGCGTAGACCTTTATATGCCAGCAAAGAGTTATGCTCTAAGCAAGATGCAGTGATTCAGCGTACTCCCTTCTCCCTCTTTATCCTTCGGCGCATCGTGATTCTGGGTCACGATTCGTGCTAGTGCGCAGTCGACGAAATTACCATGACTTATAAGTTCCCGATGTAATTGGACTGCGTAGATGTCTGTCTCGTGGGTCATGGACTCATGGTTACTGGAGCCATAAGTAATCACGCTGCGTCTGCTGCGCTGGCAGTGCTGATATTCTGCCGGTCCAAGCTTCTCCTTTAGCCTCTCGTACTTGAGATTTTATGATTATACTTTTCATCATTCGCAGTCGCAATTCTCATATCGCGGGTTTTACCATGCAGCCGCGTTCTGTATCCCTTGGCCAACGAGCTCCCGCAGTAACTTATTAGTTAGGATGTTTCAAGCTAGCGCCGTCATGAATTGCCGTCTATGGTACCAATTGATCTATTCACTGATGGAACCGGATATAGAGGATAGATGAGAAGCATCAAATTTCAGAATGACAAGTACGCATACAAGAATACGTGTATCATACCACTCTCGATACCTGCATACCATTTGTCTTTGGTTGCTCCTTCTCTGATGGTCATTCCTCAGGAAATACAATTACCTCGCTGCCCCTCACTGCCCCTCCCTTCCCTCGCCCCTCCTTCATCGCCGCCAGGCCGATAGCTTACCAATTTAATGACAGTGGAACATCTCCATAAGTTGATTGTATCAAGCCAAGTCCAAAAGGCATTCTCTTTTCCTTCCATCGTCAGCCGCTTCATTGCTGTCGGTGCCAGTTACAGACCAACTGTTTGAAGTCTCGTCGCAATGCATACGCGGACCGTCATCCCCATCGACAAGACCTGGCATTTCAAGCCAGCCGACAGGGACGATGCTCCATATATGGCCGTGTCTCAATTTCCTACAAACATTCATCTTGATCTTCTTCACCATAAACTCATTCCGGATCCCTATATCGGCCAAAATGAGGATGAAGTTCAGTGGGTGGGCGAGACGGCCTGGGTATACAAAGCAGCCTTCTCTTCACCAGAGATAAATGGCAAGGCCAAGGCCGTACTCGTCTTCGATGGGCTTGATACTTTTGCCAAAGTCGCCCTCAACGGCAAGGTGATACTGGAAACTGACAATATGTTTGTTTCTGAAAGAGTTGAGGTAACCGATGTATTGAAAAAGACCGGTGACAACGAGCTGGTTATCACATTTGCTTCTGCGTATCTTCATGGCTGGAAGGAGGTTGAGAAGCACCCAAATCACAAGTGGGGTTGCTGGAATGGCGATAATTCTCGTCTTGGTGTCCGCAAATCCCAGTACCATTGGGTAAGATGTATCACTCACGTCATTTAGCCCAAGGCCACGGTTGCTAATACCTTTCAGGGCTGGGATTGGGGTCCTGAACTGATGACCTGTGGTCCATGGCGACCGGTTCACTTGGAATTGTACGAATCTCGCGTGGGGGACTTGTATGCTGAAATTGACGTTGATTCCTCTCTCAAGAGCGTCAGAGTGGTGGCTCATGCTGCAATCGAGGGTACCGGCTCCAGTGTCCGCTTTAACATATCTCTGGGCGACAAGACCGTCGCGTCCGAGACAGTCGACATCAAGGACGACGAGGCTGTGGCTACATTCAAGGTCCAAAACCCCGAGCTCTGGTATCCAATTCGATATGGCAGCCAGCCACTTTACACTGTCAAGGCAACATTGCTGGACGGGAAAACCGAAGTAGACTCATCTTCCAAGAAGATCGGTCTACGCAGAGCTGAGGTGATCCAGCGGCCTCTCCTTGATCAACCAGGGACGACTTTTTTCTTCCAAGTGAACAACATTCCCATTTTTTGCGGAGGCAGCAACTGGATTCCTGCGGACAATTTCATCCCTCGTATATCAAAGGAACGATACTACGATTGGGTCAAGATGGTAGCTACTGGCAACCAACTTATGCTCCGTGTATGGGGCGGGGGGATCTATGAAGAGGAGTCTCTCTACGATGCATGTGATGAGCTTGGTATCTTGGTCTGGCAAGATTTTATGTTTGGCTGTGGGAACTATCCGGCGCATAACAACTTTCTGAAGTCAGTCGAGCGAGAAGCCCGGGAAAACGTCAAGAGACTGCGACATCACCCTTCAATAGTTATTTGGGCGGGAAACAATGAGGATTATCAGTATGCTGAAAGTGAAAGGCTCAACTACGATCCTGAGGATGATAATCCCGACAATTGGCTACATACAGATTTCCCTGCACGATACATTTACGAAAAGATCCTACCGGACGTGTGCAAGGCACTGGTACCGGATACTTACTATCATCCCGGAAGTCCTTGGGGTGGTAAAAACACTTCTGATCCAACCATTGGTGATATTCATCAGTGGAATGTCTGGCATGGCTCACAAGAGAAATATCAAAATTTTGACAAGCTTGTTGGAAGATTCGTATCCGAATTCGGAATGGAGGCATTCCCGTCCATCAAAACCATCGATTCATACCTACCGAAGGGTAAGGACGACCCTGAACGATTTGCTCAGTCCTCTACTGTCGACTTCCACAACAAGGCTGCTGGCCATGAGCGCCGCCTCGCTTCATACTTGGCGGAGAACATTCGCTACGCCCCCGATCCTTTGGAGTACTACATATATTGTACGCAGCTGATGCAAGCTGAGTGCATTGCGTCGGCCTACCGACTGTGGAAGCGAGAATGGAGAGGTCCCGGACGTGAATACTGCGCCGGTGCTCTTGTGTGGCAGATGAACGACTGTTGGCCGGTGACATCTTGGGCGATTTGCGACTATTATCTGCGCCCAAAATACGCATACTACGCGGTCAAGCGAGAGATGTCACCCATCTCGGTGGGCATGACAAGACGAGAGCACACCCACGCCAGGGACAAGTACACTCGAGTTCACATTGTGAAAGAGATCAAGATTGAGATTTGGGGTTCCAACCTGAGCCTGGAGGACTCCACAGCAGACTGCGTTGTGAAGGCATGGGATGTAGAGACGGGGCGTGAAACATTTTCACAGACTGTCTCAGCAAAACATTTCTTCCCGGCAAACGCCTCGACCGAAATCATCTCGATGAACGTTCCCGTCACCAAGAAGAATGCGGGCGAGGAAGGTCGAACAGTGGTGGCAGCGTATTTATACCAAGAAGGCAAGCAAATCGCCCGCTATGTCAACTGGCCAGAGCCACTCAAGTACTTGCACCTTCAGAAGCCAAAGCACCTGAAGGCGGAGCTTTGCGCGACAAGCACTGCAATTGAACTCAGCGCCGAAGTGCCGGTCAAAGGCGTCGCAGTGGAGTGCGACGACGACAATGTCAGGTTTGATGATAACTTGATCGACATTGTGCCAGGTGAAATTGTGTCTATTGGTGTGAAGGGAGTCACCAAGAACACTAGATTTACGACGCAGTACCTGAACATGTTGAGTTGAAGGTAAACATTCATGAAAATGACTACAATAATAGAAGAGATTAGCGTATGGATTGAACCGAAAGTTCTACAAGGTTGCTAGTATCGTTGCCGATGTTTGCCAGGATGTCAGCCTCGACAACAAGAGGGTGCCAGAGACCTAGAACGGCCGGAATGGTCAATCCGTAAAAGAGGTAGCAATTGAATTGACAAAGGTACCAAACGCTTGGCAACTACAGAGAAATGGCATGGGACTTGGTCACTGTGCAGGTCGATTCTTAGGCTGGTGAGTTGGAAATTGGCGAGACGGATTGCCGTCGAGGTTGATCAAAGATGTGCCCAGTGTCGCGGACTCTTGGTTGTCCACAGATACATTGCGCTCCAATTACACCGTCGAGCACAGGTAGTACTCCCAATGCGATTGATTCAGCGCGCCATCCGGCAGTCCCCCACGGGAACTTTACAAAGTACGCGATGGCAAACTCGTCAGATACAGCAGCACGTTGGCTCCGGACGAGGCCCATGGGAGCGGTTTAGCGGCGCGGGTGGGCCTGCAAAGACGTCGCACCGCTCTGGTTCTTGGCAAATGAGAGGCAGTCGTACTTGCGATGGTTTTCTGCTAGGGAGACGGATTCATCAGCCATGTAAGCAGGGGGGACGAACCAGGCGGGTTTGGGGAACCAAATGTGCAGACTTGCAAGCCTCCATGCACCACGGCCGGAGCTCCGGCAATGTCAATCCACGTCGGCACAGGCGGAGGCGGAGTGGATCGCTGCGTCTGCTGCGTACTTACTTGAGCAACCTGTAACTCGGTCCAAGTACGTACCACAGAAAGTGTAAGCCAACACCGCTGACCTCGCGGGCTCCCTCTCTTCCGGCCGTTTGCGACACAAGGAGCCCTTGGTTTTGTCCCTCACACTACCCCGCGGCAGAGGAGCGGACAGAAGAACTCCGAGGGATGGCGTCGAAAATGCAAAAGGTCAAGTCGAGATTGCCCTCGTGGGACACGACCAAGATCCAGGGCAAGAAGGGCTTCGACAAGGCCTGGGCACTGTTGGATAAGCTCGGCGCGCCGGTCAACCGGTGGACGAACAAGATTGGCAGCGAGGCATTCTGGCCGACGACGCTGGATAAGGAGACTTACAAGGCGGCCAGGATTTTGAGATCCTTCTGCAGTGAGCTCCCGCCCTCCCGTTTCTCACCTGACGATTCTCCTTTTGTTTGCCCCTTCTTGTCCTGTCTTGACTCGGCTGACACGACGGCAGAGGATGGCTTCTACACGGACGACGAGCCGTCCAACGTTCAAGGCGGGCCCGAAAAGGCGCCCAAGGTGGTTAAAAAGATTCCGGCAAAGGTCGTAGAGAATGCCGTCGGGCTGGCTATATTCACCACGATGCGCACCGGGCTCTGGATCTCGGGCGCCGGCGGATCCGGCGTCCTTGTCGCCCGTCACGAGGACGGCACGTGGTCGCCCCCGTCGGGCATCATGCTGCACACGGCCGGGCTGGGCTTCCTCGTCGGCGTCGACATCTACGACTGCGTGCTGGTCATCAACAACCGCAAGGCGCTCGACGCATTCACAAAGATCCGCGCCACGCTTGGCGGGGAGATTTCCGCAGTTGCCGGCCCCGTGGGCGTGGGCGGCGTGCTCGAGAACGACGGCAGGTGGAAGCAGGCCAACCGGCCCGTCTTCACCTATCTCAAGTCGCGGGGGTTCTACGCCGGCGTCCAGGTCGACGGCACGGTTGTCGTTGAGCGGACCGACGAGAACGCCCGCTTCTACGGGGAGAAGATTGGCGTGGCGGACATCCTGGCCGGAAAGGCGAGCCACCCGCCGCCCGAGATCAAGGTGCTCATGGAGACGCTCAAGGCGGCGGAGGGCAAGGCGGATGTGGACGGCGCCATGATGGACGAGCTGGACGCGCAGCTTGCGCCGGGGGACCTCAGTATCCACGAGCCCGACACGGGCATCTTTGGCGTCCCGGGGCCAGACGATCCCGACCCGTACGGCGTGCACGCCCTGGAGAGGGAGGGCCTGGAGATACTGGAGGCCGGGACGAGGCGGCGGCCGTCAAGCATGCAGTTCGAGTACCGCCCCAGCCCGTCCAGCCCGACCCATGGCAGATTCTACCAACGGAGCATGGAGACTGCCGTCGGAGGGACCAACGCCGTGGTTGCTGCGTCGGGGTCGAATCCGCCCTCGAGGCGGGCCACCAATGGGTATGCTTCTTTGGACGCCGGGACGCAGACGGATGATATCATTGTTGTCAACGGCCGCTCCGATGACGGCTTTATACGGCAAGACGTACAGCACAGGGACGGGTCTCGCGAGCCCGACAACTTCTATCCCGTCACAGACGGCGAGGACGACGTCTTCGTGAACGGGGGTAATCCGTGGAAATCGAGTGAGGTGGGCAGAGATTCTGGCGTTGCGATGGACGAGGCCGAGAGACTGAATCTGGCGAGAGAGGCTGACGGGTCTGCGGGGAGGAAGACAGGGGATGTAGACGAAGAAGCCCACGGGCCTGCATCGCAGAAAGCCCGCCGTGAGCTGCCGCCATTGCCACCGCGGAAGTTGACGTAAAGCTTGATAGATGCTCCCGAGTCGCAATTTTTTTTTTGTTACTGGATAAAAAGAGCGACTCCTGACCAAGACGTGCTTGCCGCTCGGATACCTTCAGTGCAGAGTTCCCATACCGATACGTTGCTGTGCCGGCGGCCAGCGGTGCCTGTTCGACGAACCAAGGGGTCTAGGTCGGTGGTAGCATAGACACATCGGCCAGCTTGCTGGCTTTGTCGTGAGACGGCGGTCTAGTTGACAGGTCTTTTTCGATTGTTGCGATGACCTTGAAATTTTTCCGCCTCTGAGAGGGAGAGCTCAATGCCTGACGCTTTGTTCTGGTGAGCTTCTCGTGCAGGTGGTGGTGGAATGTCGAGGCCCGAGGGTGAGTTTGTGATGTTTTTTGGCGATGGCCACGGTGTGCGACACGTCCAGTGTACAAATGCTTTGGAAGCCAAGTAGATTCACATCAGAAGAAACGGACAAGCCGGCTGTATCCTGGCAGGCAAACACAAACGGATCTCTCCTGTCGTTCATGGTCTGGGATTTTGAACTGCACATGGACGTCCCTGGTTCAGATTTAAAAGGCAGCGGGGCTGACTCAGCAACCGCATGCAATGCTTCCAAGCCTTGGCGTCGCATCATTCTTTGTCCTTTTTTCTTTTCTCCCTTTTGTTTCCCAATCAGTGCAGGCAGGCAAGCCATCAAGATTCACCAGCACAACCACCCTCACCACTGCCAGCCATAGCAGTTGACACACCGCGCATGGCTTCTTACGTAGTGTGTGAGCCATCTCCGGTAGGTCGCTTTGTCTCTGCCCTGTTTGTTTGTTTGTTTGTTTGTTTGTCTCGGTAGAATCGCAGCATTCCACGGCCAGTCATTCGCTCGTCAACGAATCCTTCTCGAAAAGCTCTTCTCCAAGGGGGACGTTTTGTGCTCCTGGGATGAAGTGGACTGGCCCGCTGGGCAAGGCGTCCGCTTGGACGCTTTTGTGTACGTGTTGCAAAATGGACCGGGCCGTCATAGTCCACGCCTGTCTGTCTGCCTGGTCACCGTCTCGCGGTGGTGCCTGGGCAAATCTCACACGGGCGCGGCTCCTTGTGTACCAACATTGGACATGGAAATGTCTGCTGCCATGGGGCTTGGCCGGCGTTATGCGCGTGTGCCAAGATGGTGTATGTAACTTAATTAGTATTTGTCGCAATTCGGCGCAATTGATTGCCTTGTGAAAAGCCATCTCTCCGGTCAGGCTTCGAGAATCAACTCGTCGTCGAGGTGACGGCATCCTATCGCATCTTGAAGAGACATCTGGAGCGTGCGAGCTCCGACTTGGATGCAAATCTTTTCGTGCTTCTTCTGCAAAGCCATCAACATAGTTACAATCTTCTTCGCCGTTCAGCACAAGGTTGGCTTTCGCGCGCCCACGCGACGCCTCTCGACACAGACACCCAGCGAGTACGCACATCACGAGACGTTGGAAGCCTTGCGGTCGATCAAGGTAAGCAAAAGACACGCCTCTCATCCTCCGTGGTGTCGATGATGCATTTGCGATAAATGGCTAGACCCAGATGGACTTTCCGGTCTGTGTCGAACGAGACGAAACCGTGTTGCAAATTGAGGATAACCAACCACCCAGCCCTCTGATAAGCTCCCCGTCCACAAGGAACGTAGAGGCTGTCTCAAACTCAGGGGAAGGCTAGAGACTCTGCCGGAAGCCAGAGTACGACTTTGCTGCAGCCGTCTGGGGCGGCAGGCGATAGAGGGGAGTTTACGTGACCACATGGATGAGTTTGAGGCACATGGAGAAATGGCCAGTCCGTCTGTCGCCGATCTTAACGTTGGCAGGAAAGGCCTACTTGACGCTTGCATACGTCATCGTCAAGTTCATGACATTCTCGCTCCACACCATGCTGGGTTCTCGCTCGCAACCCTCAGATGCCCGGCTCTTTGCCAGACAACTCACGAAAGAAACGACAGGAGAAAGAAGGGAAAGACGAAATGGCTTCCGGCAATGACCAATCCCAGTTCGACCATCTCGCCCTCAACGCCACCGGCCCGATCCCATGCGCTCTCCAGGGCCAGGCCGTCCTCAACACGCCCTACTTCAACAAGGGCTCTGCCTTTCCCGGCCACGAACGCCGCTTGTTCAACCTCACCGGCTTGCTGCCGCAAAATGTCCAGACGCTGGAGGAACAGGCCCAGCGCGCCCGCGAGCAGTACCTCTCGCAGGCGAATGACTTGGCCAAGAATACGTTCCTGGCTTCGCTGAAGGAGCAGAATGAGGTGCTGTACTACAAGGCAAGTGTAACCTGTAGTCGTTATGAAAGGCCAGCAGTCCCCCCCCTTGTTTAACACAGGTTTCACAGGCTAAAACAAGCGATTAGTTGCTGCAGGATAACCTGAAAGCCATGTTCAGCGTGGTGTATACCCCGACAGAAGGCGAAGCCATTCAGAACTACTCGCGACTCTTCAGACGCCCAGAGGGCTGCTTCCTGAACATCAACGACGCCGAGAGGGTCTCGCATGACCTGGCAATGTGGGGGGAATCAGAAGATATCGACTACATTGTCGTTACAGGTAGGGTTCTCGTCTAGCCCCTTGGTGGTCCGCACAGCAAAGAATGCTCCTGCTTCATCCCTCCGTGCTGACGCGTGTTCCTCATCTGCCGCCGGGTAGACGGGGAGGAAATCCTCGGCATAGGCGACCAGGGCGTGGGCGGAGTGCTCATCTCCGTGGCCAAGCTCGTCCTCGCCACGCTGTGCGCGGGCGTCCATCCCAGTCGCTGCCTGCCCGTCGTGCTGGACTGCGGGACGGACAACGAGGACTTGCTCCGTGACCAGCTCTACCTCGGGCTCAGGGAGAGGCGGGTTCGGGGAAGGCGATATGACGCGTTTGTGGATGCTTTTGTGCGCGCAGCAAGGAGGCTGTATCCGCGGGCGTACATTCACTTTGAGGACTTTGGGCTGCAAAACGGCAAGTGTTGATTTGTTCTGGTCTTTATCGATCCGTCATCAGGAGACGGCTGACCTTGTTCCCGCACAGCCAGACGGATCCTGGACACGTACCGCCCCAGAATGGCCTGCTTCAACGACGACGTCCAAGGGACGGGTTGCGTGACGCTGGCCGCCATCATGGCAGGCCTGCACGTGTCGGGGCAGCAGCTGGCCGACTTGAAAATGGTCGTCTTTGGCGCCGGCAGCGCGGGGCTGGGAATCGCAGACCAAGTCCGAGATGCCGTAGCCGCAGAGGGCGGCACGTCTCACGAGGAGGCTTCCAAGCAGATATGGTGAGCCGTTTGCCCCCGTCTCCTTTTCGGTCCCGCTGACACGAGCGCAGGCTCGTCGACAGACGCGGCCTCGTGACCTCGGAAACCGTTTCGTCCGCTGCCCAGAAGCCCTTTGCAAAAAACGCATCAGATTGGACCGGCCAGGGGACGGACCTCCTCTCCGTCACCAAAGCCGTCTGCCCCAACGTCCTCGTCGGCACGTCCACCGTCCCCGGGGCCTTCACGCAGCAAGTCGTCGCCGCGATGGCCGAGCACACTCCACGGCCCATCATCCTTCCCCTCAGCAACCCGACGCGGCTGCACGAGCAGACGCCCCGTCACCTTCTGCAGTGGACACGCGGAAAGGCGCTCGTGGCAACCGGCTCCCCGTTCGACCCCGTCGAGGGCCCCTGGGGCCCCGGCGGCGAGCAGGTGACGGTCGAGATTGCCGAGTGCAACAATTCCGTGGTCTTCCCGGGCATAGGGCTGGGCTGTATCCTGTCGAGGGCGAGGCTCCTCACGGACAAGATGCTCGTCGCGGCCGTCCAGGCGGTCGCGGCCATGAGCCCGGCGCTCGAGAACCCCACGGCGCCGCTGCTCCCCGACGTCAGCGCCGTGAGGGAGGTGAGCCTGCAGGTGGCAAGGGGCGTCATCAGGGCCGCCGTGGAAGAGGGCGTGGCCACGGAGGCGCACATCCCCCGCGACGACGCGCGCCTACGGGAATGGATAAAGGTCCAGATGTGGGAGCCCAGATATCGCGACCTGCAAAAGGTGCAGCCCGAGGGCGCGGGCCGCGGCGCGAGGGGAGAAGCGAGAAAGGCCGGCACCGTGGACAGACGACCCGACATGTGAGCACCTTCCAGGCCATCTATCTACGCTCGCGTCAACTCGGCTGGGGTTCAGTCGAATCGCGGTTCGTTTCCCCCCTGCAGGGCAGGGCATCGTCAACCATATACCTGCCCCTTGCCCTTGGCTCGGCTGACCGAGCACCGTGGTACGGTTTCCTGCAAACATGCATACACGTACCGTCACGCAAACGGGATGCCGCCGTGGCACTCACCATAGACCACTCATGTAGCATTAAAATAGTACCTCAGTCCCGAATCTCAGCCGCAAGACCTTGGTGCCTGCAAGGGGAAACGAATTTAAAACCCGCACAAGTCATGCTTGACTTAGATTATCCCAGCTCTTGCCGCCTCTCCGGCATTGGCCTCTACAAGCTCGTCCACCCTCCTCTTGCCTCGTCCCAAGCCGCCCTCCCCGACGCCCATCCGTCGGGCGACATATCGCTGGGCAACGACGCCCACTGACAGACTCAGCGTCTCCTCGATCCACTCGGCAACCCACTCGCGCGGGTCGACGCCGCCACTCTCGATAATGTCCCTGATGTCTTCTGGGACGCCCGCACCAAAGGGGTTGTCCTGGCTCTCGTCACCGGAGAGGGGAGTAAGCGGAGAGGCCGCGTCCAGCCAGCGGACCCATTTCGAGGGCACACTCTGGCTGACTGTAGAAAACTCCATCTCGTGAACGGGATCCAGGACATACACCGCAAAGCAGACGAGCTCGTCTGCATCATTCTGCTCCTTGACAGCCGAGGCCTCCTTTTCCCTTGCGGCCGAAGCGGACCCCGCAAACAGCGTCCTGTCCCCCTCGGTGGAGATGGCCTGCACGGACAGGAAGATGTCGGAGGTCCGCACCGGGTTGCTCTCGCTCAAGTTTTCCGTGGCCCGGGTCTTGGCCTGCTCAATGCCCCCGTGGGAAGCAAAGTACTCGCCGGCGTACGACTCGGCGCCGGCGCGGCACAGCTTGGTGCCCTCGGTCATGCCCTTGACCAGTCCGAGCTCCCGAGCGGCATCGGTCTGGCGCCACCAGGGACCGTCGCGCCAGCCCGCCGAGACGTCGCTGTAGCGTCCGGAGCTGCTCTCGCGGCCTCGCTGCACGACGAGCAAGTCGCCGCCTTCGACCTGCGACATGACGCGGGCAAAAACTCCGTGGACCAAGGGGTCCAGGGACGGATACCCGACCAGATCGTGCGTGATGTGGATCATGAGCCTCTCGTGGGACGAAATCGGCGGCGCAAGAGTATGCAGGATGTTGGTAAACGTGGGCAACGCTCGGCTTCGAAGCTCGCCGCCTGAAGAGGTGTCAGTAACAGCTGTCCTCGGTTGTCGTTGCGGCTTCTCCTGGGCGCCCACCGTAGTTACGCAGAGCCCCGACATCGATGCCCCCTGACAGGCCCCGGACCTGGTGGGCCCATTTCTTTGCCTCTTCGTTTTGTTGAATCTCCTTGTAGGCATTCTCGGCCTGCTTCATGACGCCGGTGGCCGTTGACAGGATGCCTCCCCACCATCCGCCGCCGCCCTGCTGCTGCCGAGGTTGCTCGACGGGGCCCTTCTTGTCGGCCTCGTGGGGCTCGGAACTTGCGGCGCTCGGCGTGAAGCTCGCCTTCAAGCTTCGGGCGCTGTCGTTGGACTTGCGTGCGGCGGCGGCGGCGGCGGCCTTGTCGTCGCCGACGGGGGGCGTGCCGGCCGGTCGTCTGACGCCTCGGGGAGTGTGCGGACGTGACGCTGGCTGCTCGGATGCGAGCTGGGACTCGAGGTCGGCCAGGATGTCGTCGTCGCCCTGTGCCTTGGACGCCGACGAGGCGGGTTTGGCAGACTTGGGATTCGTCGGTTTCTTGGACTTGGCGTCGTCCCCGATGCCCTGGAAGAGCTCGTCGAGGTTGTCGTCGGCAGGGGCGGTGGCCGCCTTGGTCTTTTTCGAAGCCATGGCGCTGCGTGAGTCTCTTGGGCGCGCGATCTACGGAGCGACTATGCAAGGCCGAGCATAACAAAGAGACGGAACGGAACGGAGGCTTTGGCCAGATTGCGGAAGAGGTGCTTGGTCTGACGGAGCAGTCGGCGAGATGCCAAGGGTTGTTTCAACTTGTCAGCGGGGGAGGGTTTGGATAAGTAGGACTGACTGTACACGAGTGCATGAGCGTGTCGGAATCGGAATAGTGGAGGCACCCTGGTATCCACACTCGGCCTCTGCTTCAGCGTCATTCCACGTCCAGAATTGCTCGACTGCGGGATGTCCGCGAGGCACGGCATCAGGCACGCCGCACGCCGCCCGTCGCCCGCCGTCCGGCGCACGGCACGTGCATGGCATGGTGACTGGCCCGACTGGTTCAATGGAGTGGCCGTCCTGTCCTCGAAATGCATTCACGCCTCCAGCGCCGGTGGGCTCTGCGTGTACAGAGAAAAAAGCACCGGTACTCCGTACATCGGGCCCCCTCGTGACATGCTGACCGTAGTAACTGTCGTTACCCCGTACTGGTACTCGGTACTCCAAAAGGTTGTCGTCGCGGCGTATTTTTAGTGCGTCGTCTCCGCTTCAGCACTTGGACGACGGGAGCATCGTCTCCCCCGCCCAAAGAGGACTAGGCGGCTCCCGTCCTTCCCGGCATCAGACGCTCTGATTGGTCGAGTGGCCGCCCACGGTCACCCGCGGCCCACGGGGCAGGCCAGGGAAGCTGTAACTTGTCGCACGGCAACGGCATGCCCAACGCGCCCTAGCATATCTACCTAGGGCTAATGGACACGCATGCGCACAGAATTAAGTTAATGCGCACCTAAAGCGTAGAGCTAGGCGCACTTATTTAAAGAGCGCATATAATTCTCTCTTTTGTAGATTAATTTAAGGCTTTTAACTATTATTTAAGTAATATCTAGCTTAGTGCTACTGCTATTTTTAATAGTTATAAGCCTAGGAGGTATTAATTAACTTTTGTAACTTCTACTAGTATATTAAGTATTCTTTATATATATTATATACTTATTATTCTTATTCTAAGCTAACTATAAGCTAATTTACTAAGCTAACTATACTAGTAGGCACTATTTTAGCGCTAGTAAAGCTTCTTTATTTCTCTATAAATTAAAAGAATTAGTATAATATAATATATAGTTATTATAAAATATAGAAGATTTAAAACTATATAGACTTTAATTAACTAAAGTAAGAGTTTAATAGTTTCCCTAAGCTTAAGCGCTTAATAATAGTAAAGGCTAAGGTTCTTTATAAAGTATATTATTACTTTAATTTAACTTATATAGTTACTAAGGTATATAACTAAATACAAAAGAACTATAAGTATTAGCATACTAACTAGCTATATAAAGAGAATAGTATAATTTATATATATACTTAGTTTGCTATTTTAATTAAACTAAGTATATATTAAGCAACTATAGTTAAGCTAGAGAGAATAAATTCTAAATTTACTCTTAAGCAGCTAGTTAAAGCGCTAAAGGTATAGCTTGCTCTAAATAATTTAAGTATTTATATAGAAGCTTATAGAGCTTATAGAGTAGTTCTTAAAAATGCTTAATGTATAAATTAAAATCCTAAGAATTAGTATCTTTAATAGAGCAAAGCCTTTACTTATACTACTATAGAAAAGATTGCTAAGATCTAGAGTATTATTGCTATTTATAATTTCCTTAAGGCAGCTAGATCTTACTATAATTCTAGCTAGGCTAAAACTCTAATTAATATAATAAGAAATAATAAAAGTATTAAAATACTAAAGACTAATATACTTAGGGATTTTAGTAATATATTTAATAGCTACCTTACTTAGAATAAGTATAGCAAGTTAAAAGCTAAGAGTATTTATACTACTTTAGGCAAATACTTAAATTATAAAGATAATAAGAATAATACTAATAATAATGCTTAAGGTAATAGCAGCAATAATTAAAATAACGCTTAAAATAACACAAAAAAAAAGAAGTACTTTTATATACCTAAGGATTTATCTCTTCTCTATCTCTAGAGCGCTTAGAAATATAAAAGACTATACTATATATTTATAGAAGACTAGAGTCTTAAACTTTATATATACTTAACTAAGAAAGAGATTATATAGATAAAGAACTACTATAATAGCAATAAATAAAAGAACTTATACTTAAAGCTATTAGTAGAAAGTATAGAACTAAGCTTATAGAACAACTAGAGCTTTAATAAGAAACTATACTCTTTTAATAAGGGATTTAATAGCGCTATTATAAATCCCTAAATTACTTAATTTTATAGGCAATACTTTAGAATTTATATAGCACTTAGATAAGCTAAATATCTACTCTTCTTAAGCATGCTATTAAACAACTATAGTGCTATACATTTTGTTAATAACGTTAATCTACTTAAGCTAGGCTTATTTAGAGAGATAATAGAAGAATATATAGAGGCAGAAGCAATAAGCTATTTAATTATTAGAAGAGGCATATATATACTTAGAAAGTGTTATAGTCTAAGCTATGCTCGACCCTAATAAAAGCGCAGCAATAGATGCACTGCACTGCAATGCGCGATAGAGGGACAAGCCTGTGCAAGGGACCTATATAGTGCCAGATTAAGCAAGCTGTGGACAGCTTGTTTAATACGTACCCTTTTAACTCAACGGTCAGTAGTCAAGGGGGTCCGGCAAACCACCGGGATGACTGCGGCTGGGCACCCGCTATGGCCATAGGGCTGGTCCATTACATTTGAACAAGCTTCCTAGGGTCGCAGGTTCGAGCCGCACGAAAAGTGCGAGGGATACTCAACCTGGGCTCACAAGAGCGATGCCGCCACCCTGCCCTTGGGGGGTGCACTATATAAAGAACTCTTAAGAAAATACTATAATCTTAAGCTCTTGTACTATTATTACTATAAGTAGTTATGCTTAGAATATATATATATAAAGCTCTTAGCGCTAGAGGCCTAGTAAGAACTCTCTAAAGCTAAGAGAAGATATCTCTAAATTATAGTATCTATAAGCTAGCTATCTTAGTAAAGCTGCGCTTAAGAAGCTCTACTTAAATGCTAGGAATATATATATAAAGAGAATTAAGCGTAAAGACTATAACATCTATACTTAAGTGCTTATATACTAAGTTATATCTAGGCGCTCTAAAGAGTATATATTACTATATTTATTTTAGTATATATATTAAAACCTCAAGACCTTTAAGATTACTTACCTAGTTATAATAGTATAAATTAGCTCTTAGTATTTAAGAATAAATACTTTAAGATAATATAAGTATATCTACTCTTTAATAAAGCATAGGAAATAGTATTTAATATACTCTTTTACTATAAGCACTAAGTTATATAGTAATTTAAGCTATTAATATATAAGTTTATATAGAATAATAAAAGTACTATAATTTAGTAAGCAGGCAAATCTATATTTTAATGCTAAGTATATATATAAGAGTATAAGGAATTAAGCTTAAAAACTCTCCCCCTTATATATATAAATTTAATAGTAGTATTAAAAGAGCAGGCTAATTAATTATACTATACTTAATTAAGATGCTTATAAGTATAGGCCTACTATAACGCTAGGTATATATATAAGGAATTAAGCTTAAAAACTCTCTCTTTTATATATATAAATTTAATAGCAGCATTAAAAAAGTAGGCTAATTAATTACGCTATACTTAATTAAAATGCTTATAAGCATAGGCCTATCTATAAACTTATAGTTAGAGAGTATATAAGCTATAGTATATCTTTATAATATAAGCTCTTGCTAAACTGCTAGTTAGAAATTACTATAGCAAACTCTAGACACTTAGTTTTATAATAATACTTAATTACTAACAAGAGAGTATATAATAGACTTAAAACCTAATTAGAATAGAGTCTATATATATAGCTGCTATATATATCTACTTAAAAGAGATTATAAAGCAGGCTATAATAAATAGTACTATAAAATAAGCTCTAGAGGCTATATTAAGTATCTAGTTAAATACTCTGCCTTTAATATATACTAAATATAGATCTCTTGCTTTAATAGAGTTATAATAATAAGGAATATAATATTTAATAAGTTTATTTTTTATAATATATATATAGAAAGTATAGTTAAGCTTTTTATGCTAAAATTAAAAGCTTAATTTATAGCTCTTTAAATTAATAATAAACTAGATAAAGAAGTAAACTACTTACTTTTCTTTATAGAAGATAATACTATAGTAGAACTTAATATACATTCTACCTTAGAGGTAGAAGCTTAGATAATCCCTAAAGATAAAGAACTAAGTATAGTAAAGCTAGAAATATATATAGAACTTTCTACTTTATATTAAACGCCTAATTATATATTTAATGTAGATAATAATACTAGTAGCAGGCCTAAGCAGCTAACTAGTATACTATAAGCTTAACTAAGCATTAAGTTACAACCTTCTTAGATATAAATACTAGCCTAGACTAGAGATAAGACTTAAGTAATCTTGCTAACTAATATACAATAAAAGCAGAGTATATTAGCGCTAGAGGCTTACTAAGCGCTAAATAAGTTAGCTACTTGCTTAAATATACAGCAGAGAGCCTAGGTCTTAATAGAGGCATCTACTGTTAATAACTACAGAATAGAGAGCTTATAAAGCATAGAAGC